CGTCACGAATTACTATATAGTGACGAGTTCGAAATATACTGTAAAACAGCCTAGATTGGCTATTAAGGAAAAAAATCCCTCGTCTATGTTAACATTGATCTTCTGACTGGCGTCGTAATTACATTTTCACTTGTCATCGTTCGTGTATTTACTTTTCTTTCTATGAAAACATTCGAACAAGACGAGCAATAACAGAAACCTGTTCGTCGCTTCATAATGCAAAATGGCGTGTTCTGTATTCTTTAACAAATTTGCTTTTTTTTTTCTCCAAATTGAAATTTATGGTGAGCCAAACAAGCAGCAATAAACAACCAGCGAATAAAGTAGAGATTAATGTAGCTTCAAGGTGGCTGACATTTTTTTTCTGTTCCTTTTTCTTGTTTTTTTCAATTTTATTTCTCAAGTCACCAAACAATCATTAGTATATCACGAATTGTGGCTCTGTCAACAATGATTACACATAGGTGAAGACGGTTATCGAAAATTTTTCATATGTAAATAGGGGTGTCCTGTCTCGTTTTATTCTATTCAGCTCAATACTATAAACTAAGAATTATTATTCGACTCTCTATTATAGATATATATTGAGAAAAAGTTCCAATAATTGTTGTAAATACCAGTATAAAAACTATAATTGTAATGCCCGAAAAAGTCTACTGAAAATATTATGTTAAAAATGTTTCAAAATCAAAGAAAATAGAATCTCAAAAGTTTTTTTCTATTTATTCTTCATCAGAAGAGGCTGCCGGCCGCTCTCTGACAGTGTTATCATTCTTATCCTCTAGCGCTTCAACGTCGTCAAGACTCGATTCGACAGTGACGAGATGGATTTGAAACAAAACCTCCAAGAGCTTTCAGTGTTTTTAACAAACAAGTGAACTTTTTGTTTCTACTCTACAGCTTGAGATATCATTTATTTTGAATAATGACAAGAATAAATACCAGTCGACGATCAAAATCAAGTATGTTTTGTGCAAATACGGTGAAAACAGAGTCTTGTTATCTTTTTTTATATTTCAAACACTGTCTTATCTTTTAAAAACTAGAAATAACTGTAACATCGTCGAAGTTTGACATTAGTGTACTACCTTGCGTTATGGTTAAAATCGTGAAAAATGTGTCTTTTTTTTGAGAGAGTATAACAACAACGATAAATGCGTTATCATAATGTTTCATTGTAATAATTCTTTGTAGGAAAAAAGTTTCAACGAAAATTTTCTGACCATCGTAAAATCTTTTATCATAGTCACAAACACAAATTAAAACATTTTGTTCAGAGCCAAGAAACTTTCGAAGAGTATGGATTTTTTAAATCGTTCTGATATAAGGAAGTCCTTTCGGATGAGTGCGTTACCACAACATTCTATCCTTCCAGAGTCGTTACAGTTTGACCAAATGAAATGAAAATTTTAGTGAAACTAGAATTTTCACACATATAGATGCTGCGTAAGTTTCAGCGCATTGTCAACTCGACTTATTGAGTTATGACAATTCGAAGATGAAAAAAAGGAATGAGTGCGTTACCTGTGGACAACCTGTATATCATAATAATCATTGTCGAACATTCGATTTTTTTCCATTTTTCAAGATATAACTGTTCATTTTTTTTTTAAATTTATTTCTTTGTTTATAAATTATAGTTGTTAGTTGGAAATATAAACATACCTTAGGATTATCATCTGAAAATAAATGTCATCCTTAGAGAAAACCATAATCATGTTTTTTATATTGCAGATTTGTTTTCAGTACATAACACACATTACATTTTTGAGTCAATTATTGTGTGAGTAAACAAATGGGTCAATATTTATCAAATGTAAATTCACAAATTGTTGACTGGACTAATAAGAATGAAACGGTACTTAGTCCAGAATCGATTGTATCTGGTAATGGTAAAGAAAGTATCAATTTATTTTTATCGATAAAAACGCTTGCTGATACAACAATAAATTCAACTCAATATGATACTAATAATCAAATTTTGAATTCTGAAAAATTATTAATAAAACAAATTCAAAATTATCTATTATTACTGACCAAGTCTAATGAAGTGATAGAGATCAACACTAAAATCAACAAAATACTTATAGAAAATGGTTTTATGCCTGTTATCGATCATTATCAAAAAGCACTTCAAGAAATGAAAGCTATTTTTGACAAACAACAACAACTACAAAAATCTTTAAGAAAAAAATTAGATGATGATAATAATAATGATCGATCTATTTTTGCAGAGTCATGCATCGAATCTTCAACCAAGGAAAAAAATATTCCGCCAGTTGCAACTACTACATCCATTGACAGTGCTCAGAAATCTACAGTGGCGCAACAAAGAATAGAAATCGAAGCTCAACAGTTTTCTTATTTTGCTATACAATTGTTAACATCATTATTACTAGTTTCAATCAAAGCTAATGAAAGAGTCGATCCATCAATTACTTCGCAAATAATAATATTAGCCAGTCAATTGTGCGAACAAATTCCTATTAAATATTTATTGTCTTTCGAACTATCGTCAAATAGCAACAGTTTGATGTTTAAATCATTGAAACCATTAATAAATTATATTAATGAACTATCCTTGTCAACAGATCCTATTTTAGCAACACAAGCCACGCAAATTTTGTTAAAGTTTTCGATTGTACAAGCATCATTCAAAGACCTTCTACCCATAATAAGTAAATTAATATTCAATACAACTGACATTTTCAATGTACGGTATTTATTCCTACAACTAAACAATTGTCTCACCGAAACTATCAATCAATTTGAACAAGAAAAACAACAATTAGACAATGGATCACAGGATGATTCTAATTACAGAGAAGACAAAGCAAATGACACAATATCGAAGAAAACAACAGGTTAGAAAATTTCTTTAGATGCATATGTATAGCCTTCCCTCAAGGTAAATTCTTTCATCGAGGTAATATGAATGTCTGCTTCTGCTGATATTAAATAATTCTAACATTATAATAAGTCCATTCAATCAATAGAGACAACAATCGCAGTTCAACTAGTGTATAGACAGAATGTATCTATTTAATATTTGTGCTCATTTTACTGTATCTTTTTTCGAAACATGGACTTAGAAATTATACGTCGATTTTTGTTCGAGAATAGTAAATGAATATATGGCATCCACCCCGCCTCTTATTCCTCCTTTTCCTCTTTTCTCACGAAAAAGTAGCTTGTTGGCGAAAACATTCATGAATATATTGATTAATGTTACCATATCATACGAAAACACAAAACACAAACTGATGTGCCGATCAGTTGAGGTGTATAGCTAAGAAGGCTAAATTATATGATTTTAGTGATCAACTTCAGCGATGTTATATATCCCTAATTGGAACCCAATTATTATAGCTCTCTAGTAGAGGCAAAATCACTCAATTATATTTCCAACGTGAACTCATCATTCTCTCACAATCTTGGCAAGTTTTTCTGGTAAAGATCGACCTGTAAAATGGTAATATTGACTCACTTTTCTTGACCATTTTTCTCAGCCCCAGGGAAGCTTGTTATGTGTATCTAACAATGGATAGCTAACTCGTAGTGTAACGCATGCGTCAAAATGAGAAGTTTTCAGAGTGGCTAGATTTATCCCAGAATCCTGTCAGATTCGATAGGATTTCTTCGGCAAGATAGCTTCTGATAATATGATGTCATAAGTTGAAGATTTCTGCTTATCAGATACCGATAGAAGTTTTCATGTTGCATCGAGCAATATCTGATCCTTCAAAATTACTGGGCTGATTACAGATGCCGTGGTATGTTGCTAGATTACCGTACGCTATTGATATATTGTTAAAATGAAGTAATCCCTCTCCCTCCAAGTTTTTCTGTGTACAATCACATTTTGGACGATCGTATATCTCTAAACCGTATATGAAGAAATAAAATCGTATACGACGAAATACAGAGTGAAACAAAAGTCGTAGACGAGCTTTGTTTGCCCATAAACGATCGTATTTCTGCGCATACAATAACGGATTTATACGATCGCAATACTGAGCGATGTGAAACGCCATATTTCTCCGATTACAAGCATGTTTGCTTGACATGGGTTAATATTGACAATAGTTTGATGATACTTGGAAGAAATCGGATGTGATGGAATGTAATAGCAGCAAACAGGAGCGCTCCATTCATCAAAAAGCAGGGGATCATTCAATCTACCCAATACAAATAAGTCGTTTTCTACAGAACGCAGGAAGATGACCATATTTCACTAGGAAAAATCAAGCGTTTTCGATAGCACGGTGTCAAATGATTTCTCACAGGCCCGCTGTCTGGGTACCATTGCAACCAATGTATTAATTTACGCTAGGAAACGGAAAAGTGAAACTAACTTGCGAAAAATGATCAAAATCATGGAAGAATTGCTGAAAATTGAAAAAAACGAAAAAATCCTTTCTCACATGCACAGTTATCCGAAAAAAAGGAATAAAAAGTGGAAAAAAAAACATTTAATGAATTCTGATCGTTTCTATTTCTGTGTGACTACTTAGTCAGATACTACGCAAATAGAATAGTCTATTTTTCTAATGTTTTCCTGTTTTCTAATGCATGCATAAGCAATTGCACAAAAATTTCTATAAACAATTGGACATTTCGTTTCTTTTTTACTCTTTCAAGTCATATTCAACCTATATTGATAACGTACGAGTTTTGTCGGATTTATAGTACTATTGTGCCAGTGAGTATTAGTTTTCTTCGGACGAAACTGTATGCCTCTTTTTCTCCTCTTTTTTTATTAAAAATCCTCTTTTTTCCAAGAATGCTGAGCCTCTTGTTTTTCTCTTTTTTTCACAAAGTGTTGGTGGGATGCTAGTGAATATTTAACACAAGCAAACACTAAGTTTGAAGAAAACTTGTTTAATACATCAGCTTGTACAGTAAAGTTTATCCTACAACATGTATGATTGAAGTTTCTTGGTGTCCTTTGATAAGACACCTCAATCTTCATGTTTCCTACGCTCTCATTTTTGAAAAGATCGATCTATTTGACCGTAGAAATTGTCTGCTCAGAAAATGTTTACAGTTTTCTGCTAGAGATGAGACCCATCTTCTACTCATCTTCAACAAAAAATTTGCTACACTGTTAGATTTATCAGATTGGAACATAAGTTCTGCACGTTTGGATCAGAAGAATTATATTGCCAATATAAAACTACATTTTAAGAAAATTAATTATGTATTCTGATGGCACTTGAAATTCTCTATCATCCTATGTATTTAGGTCTTAACATGGATTTAGAAAGGTAATTATATGCTGAGAGCTCTTGAAATGCTCTATCACTCTGTATATTTAGATCTTGGCTTGAACTTATTTGGCGAGAAATATTTCGAATATTGTCAATGCTGATGAAGGTGTCTTTACTGTACTCGAAATATTTTTCAGCAAATAAATACAAGTCAAGACCTACATACACAGGATGATCGAGAATTCTGAACGTCCGTCAGAATATATAATTACTTTTTTTAAAATATAGTTTTATATTGACAATAGAATTCTACTAATTCAAACGTGCAGAACTTATGTTCTAACCTAATAGTTCTCAAAAACTTCTAATAAGAAAAGAGAGTTGAAAATAATTCTGATAAAAAACACATTTTTAGACCACCTAGCATTAATTTCATTGAACTATTTGAAATTAAATGAAGTATTTCCTAACACAAAATTAACAGAAGTACATGAAACAAGATTTACTGGTGAATTCATTTCATCGATTATTCTGGCACACATTGACATTTATAATAGCATCAATCTACACAAACAATTTAAAAATGGTACAATTCATAGTTCAATTTCATTTGAATTTCATCCGAATACATTCAAACAATTATTTAATATTCTCGAACAGTTAACATTAATAATAACACGAAATTCAAACTCAGTTCTTATTCATATTCTAACTGTATGCGTAAGATTATTTAAAATACATTTACAATTCCTTTGTGCTATGAAATCAAATGTTGCTAGAGAATTATTGACAAAAATTGATGATAAAATTATAAAAACTTCTCAAGATTCTTCTACTGAAAGCATGGATAACAACATCGATTTAACAACATTTGTAAGTGATGATGAATTAAGAAAATGGTTTGATGTATTATTAAAATTGGCTTGTGATGATGACAAATCAGAATCGACAACAATGTGTACAGAAGCATCGAAAGCTTTAGTTTATATTATGGATTTAAAAGTAACATCATTTACAGAAAAATTATCATTTATTCATAAATACATTATCGAAAATAAATATCAAACATTAGTCGAACAATTCTTCATCGAACTAAATCAAACAGTTACACTATTCAACTGGATTGAAATTTTGTGTAATGATAACGATAACAAACCAGAAAAAGCCGAAGCATTAAAAGTATTGTATTCGTTTGTTGATATTTGCTTGAATCCAACGAGTGATTTAAACGAAGCACAAAAACAACGAATTAAACAAATATTAGTTTTATTCCAACAATTTTTTCTAGTTCGTTTAGTACCAAAATCTAGAATGAAAAGAATTCAAAACGAAGCGACAGATAACAATGAAATAGAAACATCAATTGATACGACTTCTGCATTAGTTTTTGCTCAATATATCTCACATATACTTAGAAATTATGTAAACAAAGTAGAGAAAACAAATGATTTAATCAATCAAATTTTTGTTGGTTTATGTTTAATGACACAAACAGAAATTTTTAATTTCACTATAGTTCAACCGATATTCACATCTGTCTTACCATTATTGGCAGACTATTTGCTACAGAATACAAGTAATCAAGAAGATACTATACATTGCCTTTATTGGCTAATTGGAAAAATAAGTTATGTAATGATTACTGGTTCACAACAAAATTTATTGGAAATAAAACATGTCGACAAATTGAAATCATTTCTATTTGCTGGTGGATGTGAGAAAAAAACAATTGAACATAATAAATATTTATTGAATTTATATGAATCTGATCTTGCTGTTTACAGTAAATTTCAATTATCAAATTCAAATCAACAGTCATCATCAGATCATGATTTTTTAATGTCAATATATAATAATATCAATCAAGGTGCACAATTAATATCAAAAATGAAAATCTATGTCAAAAATCGACATCATTTACTTAAATCAATTGAACAACAAGCAAATGATACATGTGCAGCTCTATTTGCTGTCTACATTAAACATTATCGTCGAATTAATCTTGCTAAATTGGAACTATCTCAAACAGATAATAAAAGACCTCATAGTAAACTTTTATTACTTTATGAATATGCAAGTCATATTCAAATATTATTTGTTACAACGAAAGCACAAGGTGGTGATTGTGATGAACTATACAAACAAATCAAAATGAAAACATTATTTCTATTATTAACTGTTAAAGAAAGTAATTTGATTCCCATAATTCAAGATGATCTATTACAATTAACAAAACCTATGACAGATATACAACAAGAAAGAACAGGATTTGTTTTACGTCGACGACGTTCACGATGGACAACAGCAAGACATATATTTACAATTCTACGACATACATTACATGCTTGTATTCGATTTAAAAAATGCATGCTAGCTAGAAAACAAGCTATTGAACAAAATCAAGATAATGAGAGTATTTTAAATAAAGAAATTAATAATTTTGTTTGTAATAATCTTCATAAAAAAATAACATTGATAACAAATGAAGAAATAAAATCAGAATCTGATGAACTTACTCAATGCATCGTACAACAACATGAACGTGGAATAATTCGATTGATTACATATCGATTTATTTATAGATTTATACAGAAAGCATTAAAAATTGGAGAAGAAAAGCAACAAGCTCTGATGATTTTAACTGTATGTTTGCCATATCTAAGAAAATCAAATATTAATTGGTCCTATTTAGAAAATATTGAAGCAACAAATAATGAATTGAAAGAAGAAATTCGAAATAATTATTATTCAATCATCAAAATTATTTTATCCTTTGTTTTACAATCAAAAATATCTGAACGAAATATGTTCAACTTATTAAATCTATCGTATAAATCAGCTGATATTCGTCTTCTATATCATCATCATCAATTTATTGAAACATTATTCAAAATCTATGTCAATTTTGTAGGAGAAACAGATCGTACTATTTCATTTCATACGAAATTAATTGGATACAATTGGTTTCGACTTTATATATTGAAATTATGTAAAAATATTCAAATAGAAGAATTGAAACGAAATGTTAATGAAGAATTAATACAACAACAAGAATTTATCTTTAACATATTGATTTTAAATGAATTGAAAGGATTGAGACGATTAAAACAAACATTACTTATTGATGCAAAAGATGATGATATTATAGATTCTATAGAATGTAGAAATCATTCTTTAAATAATTCTTCTATTGGATGGTTTATTTATGTAATAACTAAAAATAAAACATCAGACTTTTCAAATAATTTATCATCAAAATTTGAAATTGAACTTTGTACAAATCAATTATTGACACTTTTACTTCGATGTATTCATTTCTATGAACATTGTCGATCTGTATGTGGAACTGTTGATTTTATTGAAGAACTTTTATATATTTATCAGAATAGTCAAAATAGAGTAACGATTTTACTTGCATTGAAAATCTTACGTGACTTATTTCCTTCATTACCGGAAACTGCAAATGGAACATCAAGTTCCATGATGAATAAATTATTAAATAACTTTTTATTTTCTATCGGTGATAGTTACAATTCACAAGCTATCACATCAGAGACAGTTACTGAATTAATTTATATTTATCGTACAATAATGTCATATAAATCACCATGGCAAATGATGGCAACACAATTAATTTTCGATAGTATCATATCGAGTTCAAATAATATCGATTTGAAATCACTCGAGACCATGGATACAAAACAATGGACTTATTTATTAGCATCATTATATATATTAGGTGGATATATTCAACCATATGGTTTGGGTTCAATCGTGAAAATCTATACTAATGAAGAAAACAATGAATATGAGTTGGGGATAATTATTGATATCGATATGAATGCTCGTGATCAAGCTACACCTGATACATTATCTTATTTTATTCAATATTTACAAGAAAATAAAACTGAATGGGTTACAATTGATAAACTAGAAGTTAAAGTAGATGTTTCTCCACCTAATCTACTTACCTTACCAAATACGAATGATTCAAATCTAGCTATACATTCACTTTTTGATACATTAGGATATATCATACAAATTGATATATCATCAAATGATTCGTTACGTCTTTTACAACTTAAACGTTATTCTATTACTACTCTATATAGAATCTTAAGTAGTAATCAAATAATCGATATTTTTATGCAAAAACCATATGCTTCATTTATTGCTCAATTATCAATAAGAGATTTATTCGGAGAAGTTAATTTTCAACCGATTGATTTACGTCTATTTAATAGATCACATTTGGAACAGTATAGTTTTAGTTTAGATAGATGCGAACGATTGAAACAAATCGTACTTAGTAATCATAATAATATTAATGATCGAATTACTACAGATATTCAAGCTAGTTCTACATTTGATATTTACAATAAGGTTGATATCAAATCCGATCAATCAATCGTAAATACGTCATCAACAAATACAATGATATATAACGGATGGAAGCCATATGCATCAAATATTGAAATTGAGCTATATAAGAAAGGTCGAATTGGTAGTAGTGAAATTTCAATTGTACCATTTCCACGGGAAGTAGCTGGATTGGATGTAATTGGAGAATGTGGCAATAAGCATCAATTTAAAGGTCGAATCTATATGAATCATAGCAACTATCACAAAGGCTTTCCTTCATTTATTGTTGAAAATTTAGAATTGAATGAAGGTAGTTGGTATTATTGTGTTAAATTGCCAGTCGCCGGCCTTGTTCAAATTGGATGGGCAACAACTGGATTCACGCCCAAAGCCAACGAAGGAATGGGAATAGGTGATGATAAATATTCATGGTCTTTTGATGGATCACGTGGTACTCTATATAGTGATCAAGAATTCCAGTTTTTACCGTCAAATATTCGTTGGAAAGCAAACGATGTTTGTGGTTGTGGAATTGAAATTAATGGTGAAAATACTCGAATTAAATATTGGTTGAATGGTAAATTCTTAGGTACAGCATTTGCACATCAATCAAATATTGCATCGACAACAATTAAATGTAATTTGCTACCAAATGGACCGAATACAACTTATTTTCCTGGTGTTACTGTACAAGCACATTATAGTGAGGTAGGTTGTTGTGAATTTATATTTAGTCCAGAAGATATGATCGAATGTCCTTTACCCGATGGTTATAAACCAATATTAATGCCAAAATTTAGTCATAATAAAGATTCTTTTGTTGCTTATCCATATAGTGCCTATTTAGTCGGTGATGATGTTCAAGATTTTGTTTATATACCACGAAGTACATCATCAACAACTTTTTTACGTGATTTTGTTAATGAACATCATATAGAAACTACATTAACAACTATCAATGATTATCAATTAATATTGACGGAAGATAATGATGGTTTTCCATTTTCAATTGATAATCAAATGACATCATTAACGATTAGTTTTGATTTTCAAATTTTAACAAAAAATCAAAATGATTCAAATAACATATTTGATATTCTACTATTTACATTAGAAATAATTGAAAAACATTCAATAAAAATACCATTTAATAAAAATAATGAAGAAACAAGAACTGTTATTTTAATTCATCCAAATGAACATGAAATTAAAATCTATATAAACAAAAATATTTGTCAAATAATAAATAATAAATTTGATAATCAAACAATGACAAAATTTAATTTTCATTTTCTACCTCATATGACTGTTGGAATAAAAAATTTTGCTATTTGGAAATATGCACTTTCAGAAGAACATATTCAACGTATATTTACTAGTGGTATATCTTATGTAGCTATTGATTATAAACAACAGAATGAATATCGATTACAAGCAAATACATTTACATTTACGAAAAATCAACAACAATTTCAAAATGAATTTCTAATTCCATTCAATGAATCATTTGATGAAACTATATGGAAACAAAAGCAAAAACAAATTGATATGGATGAATCAAAATATTTTAAAACAATCAATGAAACTGATCAATCTATTATACAATTATATGGAAATAAAAGTTATCTTGTTGTAAAAAAATCAATTTATCAATGGTATAATTATACAATTATTCTCGATATTTCAATACCTAATTTTCCAATGACTGAAGAACAATTAACAATAGTTATATTAAATTTACAAGCAAAAATATTTATAACATCCGATGGTAAACTTTGTCTTTCTACAATAGAAGAATATGCTGAAAGTGAATTAATATTAAATTTAAATGAATTTATACGTTTATTGATTAGTGTAGATAATAAATTGATCAAAATCTATGCTAATGGATTATTAGCACTTGACACTGAGGTCGATAATGATTCATTAGTTATGAATTCGAATCAAATTCATTTATTTAGAGAAATTGATTTCAATGAAAATACAACAAATGATGATAAACTTCGAATTGAATGTAAATCAATTACATTTCTAAATCGATCAATAATGAATGCTGATTTAGATGAAACACTAAAATCACCAAATTATTCATTAGAAACATTAGTTGCACCACCATTTTCAATAATTGCAATAAGTCTAATTAATATTGGATACGAAGTCGAATGGATAAAATCTGTTATGAAACAATATAAAACAATCAATGTTCAAATGATTGATACAATAATACGTGAACATAAAGAAGAATTTTTAAAGACAGACATTCAAAAACGACAAAAATGTATTTTAAATATTTTCTCAAGATTAGGTTCATCGATTGATAAAGAAAAATTAGAAAATTTAATCAATACTTTAGAAATCGATACCGATGATCAAATTGTAACTATTGGTGAACTCGTACTAACTCTTTGGAATGAGTTACAAACATCAAAATCTTTAATTGTTGAAAGAGACTTTACAAATAATATTAGTTCAGATCAGAAGGAGAAAAACACATGGTTTCATCGTACAATGGATGAATTTAATTTAAATTATAATTTTACTGAATGGATTCGTGATAAATCTACAACAACGAAAGAAACAGATACTACTCATCAATTATTCGATTTAAATAAATCGGAACAAGAACAAATAATAATAACAACAACAGGAATATTTGATCAACAAAAAAAAGTTAAAAAATCTATTCAATATTCACATAAGGATATTTCACAGAAACAATATTTAGATTCTCGTATTGCATGTGAACATGGATTAATATCGATCTATGCATGTGATATAATTTTGAACATCTTAAAAATCTGGTCAAACAATAGTTCACATATATTTCCATTGGAAAAATTTGGTGATTATCCATTCATTGTAAAATTATTACGATCGATTGACTATCATTATACAAGCATACGTTTAAATGATAGTGTAGATAGAATGAGTTTTTTAATAAAATCTATTCTTAAAAATGAAATAAAAGAATTACTAGTTGAAAATATCGGTGCTAACAGTGAAATTCTACCAAATAATGTTCCCTTACTTTACCATTTACAAAAGGATATTATTATTGAATCAATTCGATATTTATTGAAAATATCATCATCAATAGATGAATCCGATGGCAAAACAACAATCATTGACGAACGAACAAAAAGTGAACAGTCGAATTTAAATTTTATTTTTAAAATATTAAATCTATTCGTTGAATTAATAACTGATAAATCAACAATGAAACAAAATGAAATCGATGTACTTATTCCATTTTTATTTCCTGAGCCATTAATCAATGTCATGTTTGATTTGTTTCTCTTACTTCCAATGCATCAATCAAAGATTTTCATTCTTCATTTATTTGTAACGTGAGTAGAAAACTTTATAGAATATTCTTATTTTTAACATCTTATACTTTACAGAAGCATTTTCGTTTAGTTTTCTCATTAAAAACAAAATTTGTCATATTTTTGTTACTTTGAAAAACAATTCATGAAGGAACCTCTAGAAGTGTTCATTCGCATTTTATTTCACTTTTTGATTCGATCGAGTTGGTTTGGAATAAGTGGATGTTCAATTTAGATTTCTCTACATGGATAGATCTAATAATCACTAGAATATCATAAGTTTCATACAATTCAAATTCATTATTCTTAAAATATTGCAGTTTTTTTAAAATCAATATGTACCCAGAAGATCTCATTTAACTGTAAGTTACTGAAAACCTGTTCACTTCTCAAACAAAATATTCATTTTGCTTTCAGAGTGATCATAAATTATTCTAAAAAGTCCAGAAAAGCAAACCATCTTGTTAGTTAGTTCAAAAATGAGTTAAGAGTTCAACAGGTTTCTTCGCCATAAAAGAATTCACTTGTGGAATTGACAAAATGAAACAAAAGATAAGATCCAAGAGTATGTGTTAATAATTATTACAGGAAGAATACTGTAGCTTGTGAATATGATGCACAAAAAATTGTTCGATCTGTATACTGAAGTGTGGTACAAATTCTAGCAATACAATTGCATCAAGTTATCCAACAAGTGATGAATTATGATTTTTCAAAGAAAAAAAATTCAGATTGTTTAATCAACAAAAAATTAATCTTGTTCAATTCCAGTAAGAGTTACGATAGAAGTTCATACTATGTTTGACTTATTTATCCGATTACATAGGAAACACACGACTTAATGTATTCCTAGCAGAGATATCCGTAGTGATGTCACGGCAGATGTTTTAACAATACTATTGCGGCGCGGCGACAGATTTTTTCCTGAGAGGGCAATGCAAACAAATAACGCTCATCAACAGTCAATTTGCTTCACCCTAGACTGAAGTAATAATCTACAAATGAACATTCATCTGTGTCTCTCTATCTGTAGCACAGTAACCATATGATATCCATGGTCATGCATGCCACAGTTTCGGCCATATTTATCATGATTGAACCAAAATTTTAACCATTTTTCCCATAATTTTAGTTACTCGTGCCAACTCTTTGATTGCTGACGAAAGAGCTGGCACGAGTGTCCCAAAATATGGTCTTAACGACCACGAAAAAGGTCCAAATGCTCAAAACTATGGTGCGATTGACTGTATGACTGTGGCGTTTTCGATCTAGATATGGTCACTTATACCATGGCTATCGTCATTTGTACCATAGATATAGTTCTTTGTACCATGGTTGTAGACACCTGTACTACAGGTCTGGTCCTTTGTACCATCATTATGATTATTCGTACCATGACTGTAGTTCTTAGCATCACCATTTGAGTCACTTGTACCACGTGTTGCAGACAGACAGACACAGGTGAATTTCCGTTTCTAGATCGTATCCTTTCAGTCTAGGAAGAATTTATGAGTTTAAATAAAATTTTAGCGTCCACAAACACAACGCTCTTAGACTCAACGAATTTCATCGGTTAATAACAATAGTTCTAGTTCAACATAGTCTCAGCCATGAAATTAAAGCATTTTTCTAAGAATCACTGCGGTAGTATCAGCTTTTTCTATAATTCATCGCGGTACAGCAGTGGCAAATTTTCAGCTGCGATAGACATCTCTGGTTTCTAGCCATGAAAAATTTAGAATTCAATTATAAAAATGATCTATTTGTTTGTATTTACTTTTTATTAAGTTCAAGCTAAATTTCGAATGACTTTGTTCAAAACGAGAATAATAGAAATAATCAATTTATCTGCTTTCATTTTCCTAGTTTAATGCAAGCAAGTAAAAACTTTAGTTTAAATGAACGAATTGAACATTTTATGTCTCAATTATTGATTGAATTATTATCAAATGAAGCATCTATGAACAGTCGAACAATAAAATTATTACGAATCACTGTCATGGATTTCATCTTTCTAGATTTAGCAAGACAAAAGTCTCAGCTTTGTACAACGAATAATGTAAATCAACTATTCGAAATCAAATTATATGAATTTCCACAAAATTTCCAGGACCTATGCATGGTCATCGATATTATTAATGCAATGACTGATGAAACAAAGCAAACACAATATCCTGAATTGTTGGTTATACAATCATACGATATTTTGGATGAAACTCTTCCATTCACTTTAGATGATATTGTAATTTCAAATTATTATTTTGATAAAACATCCGATCTGCAATTGATTAGTCTAATGAACAATGATGCATTGATTGAACATTCATTCAGTGAATTCATTCATAGTCTAGCTATCGATAATATGTTAAATTTGGGACGTTTTGAACTATATCCATCTTTATTGAATATTCCAGTAAATTGTGTACAAAATCGTGCAAAACTCTTTCATCTATTCGAGATATTTGTCGAAAAAGTTTTATCACTACTCGATTTCAATTTACCTCCGAAGACAAGTATTCTTACAGATAAAATTCGAATAGTCAAAAATTATTTATCACATAGAAAAAGAATTCAATGGTTTGAACAATCATTGATAGAAACGAAAATAAATCAATTTTCTAGTTTTCCTACAATTCAATTTGATTTTGTGAAAGCAAATAATACTAAGAATAATGAACAACATAGTACATTCTATCAAGGTTATGAACAATTACATGAAAATGCTCATCTATTATTTAGAAATGATGATAATCCACGACTTTGGCAAGCACAATATATTGGCATGCATAGTGTTGATCACGGTGGACCCTATCGTGATTCAATCACGAGTATGTGTTCAGATATATGTAGTACACAATTGCCATTATTTATTTTATGCCCAAATGGTCGAATAAATATAGGTTTAAATCGTGATCGTTGGATTCCAAATGTATTTCCACCGAATCAATCAATTCCAATTAAAATTAAAAAACAATATCAATTTATTGGACAATTAATGGGTATGGCAATACGAAAGAAACATTATCTAGATTTAAAATTTCCTAATTTATTATGGAAACAATTATTAGGCGAACAAATAACTATGAAAGATATTGAAGCAATTGATATACAAAGTTTTGCAATTATTAAAGAAATGGAAAATAATATACAACAAAATCAATCCAGAGATATTGGTAGTGATACTAATTATTTATTTAGTAGTATTATGAGTGAACTTCGATTTGATATTGTTAGTTCAGCTGGACATACATATGAATTAATTCCCGGTGGTAAAGATATTCCAATAACAGCTGATAATTTCAATGAATACTGTACATACTATCGTGAATATCGTCTAAATGAATTTCATCGACAAATTGAATATATTCGTCAAGGTTTATGTAGTGTTGTACCGAATAATTTGATGACTTTACTTACAACTAGTGAATTGGAAGAAGCTGTATGTGGAAAACATCAAATTGATATTGCTTTATTGAAACGAAATACTCAATATAATAATTCCAATTTAGAAACACCATATGTTCAACAATTCTGGAAAGTTTTAATTGAAATGTTTAATGATGAACAGAGAAAATTATTTTTAAAATTTGTTTGGGGAAGAAATACATTGCCAAATCGAGATGAAGATTTTGGAGAAAAATTTTCAATCAATCTATTAATGCGAAATGAATATGAGGCAGATGCAATGCTTCCACGTAAGTAGAGAAGAAGATAGTTACTATAGGTGACATAACCCATGAATGCGAGCAGTTGGAGATCTATCATTTTCTGTATAAGAACGACAAATATGGGACAAGAGAATCTACAGTATAAAAAAAAAGTTTTTGATTGGATGAGGTGTGTCTTTAACTTATTTTGGCTTGATTCACGATAAAAAATTGCAATATATAATTTTTTAATCATCATTACTAAGATTTGACATATCGAGTGATACAACCAGCAGAAAATTTCATCATTTGTTTTTTACATTTGTCTAATCAATCAAAATTCACACATGAATTACGTCTGATTAGCATGAAGTACCCAAGCAATGAATATTAAATTGAATCGATTTGTATGCATTTCAAAAAATTTAGACATGATTCCCCTCTGAATTCAATCAAAAAATTAATTTCAACGTCGTTTTCCTTGTGTATCTATCTTATTTTAGGTTTAATAGGATTTGAATATTTTAGAATTTACCTTTCATGATTATCTCTATGTTCAGATTTCTATTATGAACAACAACTAGACCATTATCAAAGCCAAATTAGTCGAATAATGTCGTATGAAATCACTAAAATCGTGTCATAACAAGAAATAAGCATAGAAAAAAGTCGTCTTAGGGTTATTTGAAAAAAGTTTTCAATTAGTCCATTCTTTAGAGTAAACCAAGAAACAGTTATCGTGTAAGTTTCAGTTATCTCTACGTTTACTTCACAAGGATATTGTGATTACACGGAGTAAAAAATTTTTCAGCGGAAGAAAATTTGATTTTTCAAGATTGTGTGCACATAGATTCTCCTATGTCAGTTTTCAGAACTGAAAAAAACTGCAGCTAACCATGGAAGTGCATATCGAAAAACGATGAACCATAAGAAATTTTGTAGAAATATTTTGTGATAATTTACGTCTCTGCTAGGAAAAATAAGGAATTTGAAATAATAATCCTATAAATTATAAGCAAATCTCGATACAAAGAAAACGAAATATTTTTATGAAAAAGTCAAAATTCGACCAGTATCCAACGGTTTTCTTTCATTTAAACATAAATATATTTTTAAATAGCTTGAAAAAATTGTTTGAAACTAGTAGACAAGATTAAAAACTTTAGTATTATTTATCTAACATTAAAATCTTCATCCAAAGCTCTTTGACGATTTTACAAAGAATCAAACTCAAGAACTCCAGATGTTATCATTATTAGAACTTTGCTTTTCTCTCTAACAAAAATAAAGAATCGAGCATCCTAATATGATTTATCTACTAGTTCAATGAAAAGGCATTTTATAAATAAATATCATGTTTCAAGGTATAGATGTAAATTAAATTTTATTATTATTATTTTAGGATCTCATACATGTTCATTTGCTCTTCATTTACCATCATATTCGACGATTGAAATCATGTACGAACGTTTGAATTATGCAATTACTCATTGTTCGAGTATCGATGCTGATGGTTAAAACTGAACAAAGTTACCTGAGAGCATAAACTTAAACTCGAATAACAAGTGTTAACACTTTAAACAGTTTTTTTTTCTAAAATTAATTAATAAAGATTACATACTTTTACTATTACAGAAGTAAACACTTTTATTATTATTTTTTTTATTTATAATACACTGATGCTCACTAGAAGATTTTTATCTTTTGATTAAATAAGTTTTATGAACATATTTATGTAAAGAAATATTTTCTTGTTCTCATCTCTTTTTTACAGAGAACAGGAAGATCATCAAATCATAGACATGAATCCTACTTTTAGCACAAGTTTATATATCCTATAGGATGTGATTGACTCCAATCAAAATTGTTAATGCATTTATTGTTGGAAAGAATTCTTTACTTTTTCTATACAGTAAGATAATCTCATGTTGACTGTATTCTTAAAAATAACGATAAAACGATGCTGAAGATGTTTTGATTCCTGATATCTTTGAAATCCACAAATTAGTCAAAAAGCGGATAAATATTTTTATGGATGATATAAGTGTTGTCACTACCTACACGACAAAGTATTTTCCGTCGAGGATGATGGCACTATTTTTGACTTGTAAATATGACAGATTTGAAAGATCCAAAGATATGTCATAAATGTTTCGACAAGTTTCAAAAAGGCATGTTCAATTATTTAAACGATGATACTCGTTAATACTGAGCCTATCTATTCGATCAAAAATAGTTCCTTTTATTCATACTTATTGTTTCTTTTTTTATTTCGAGGCGACGTAAGCCACATCCATTTTAGATGTCTGTTGATAGCCTAATTTTTCAAACATTTTATATGATGATTCATTTTCGTTAAACACAAAACAGAAAACGTGTTCTTGCAACTTGAATAATTCCGAAACTAAGTGTACATTCACTAGTGATGCAAGACCAAGTCGACGAAATTCAGGTAATGTAAATACAATTCCGAAAGAACCATCAAATCTTGTCAAACACCAACTCACTAACTGTTCATTATGATATGCACCTACAAAATACCAAGAAGATTTCTTATTGACATGAATAAAGTTTATAAATTGTTTCTTGGAAAACTTACCAAATGCTGGTAAATGTTCGATTTCGTATTGAATTATATTGAGCGAAAACTTTGACTTATATCTCCAATGATCGTTGATAAATGATGCATCGGCTACGGACAAACGTCGAATGGTAATGTCTAAAAATTTTGTTATATCAGAATAGTCTTACAGTAGAGGCTTCACAAAAAAGCAGTGCACAAATTTTTCATTAAACTGTTCCGTACTTCTTCAACAAAAGAATGATTGAATGTACGTATAAATCAATTCTTATGAAAATTAGATGCTCTGATTTCTTTTATCCACCTGATGGAATGTGTTGCATAATTTTCGCTTTCGTCATTTCCAACGTTTCTCGTTTAATTTCTATTTGAGAGGCAGAATTCACATGCAAATCACCCAAATTTTTTTCTCGAACAAGACTTTCGATCATAGTCGAAAATTGATAATCATTATTTGAATACATAAATATTTCTACTTGATTCCATGGAACACATTGTTCAAGTAGAGGCATAAGTATATGATCGTTATCGGGATGACAAAAGAATAAAACATATCTTGCACTTGTTTCTTTGTTCTCATCTAATAGATGATAATCAGTCGTAAAACCGATTATAGAATATACTAGTACTACACATTTAATTTGATCTTGATCGTCAACAAATAATTGATGTGGCCATATATGTTCCTTTGTGGTGAAACCTCGTTGTACATAACCGAGTAATTGCCATAGTTGAAGCGATTTCGGAAGATATACTTTCTATCAAATGATGATATGCTCTCTCTATCTTACAATTGTACTAGAGATTGAAGAACTTACTAAAAAATTTAAAACCAATCTAAGTGATTCTTCATTTGAAATATCGACTTGACTTGGTATGACTGTAGCCATGCTCTAAATAGAATAAAAATGTACTTCACATAATAACGGCATGTTTCTTTTCTCAAGAGTTCTGTTCTTATCTTTTATCTTGATTACTTATACAACGAAATCAAAAATAAGAGAAGGAAGGAAAAAGTATTTGCATATGAAAATGAGACATGCTAGACGAAGTAGTACGACAATAACAGCTACATTACACAATGCAACTTAGAGTTAGAATAGCATCACTGACAAATCAAAGCATTCTTGAAGATAAAAGTTCTCATCAAGAAAAATATTTCAAAGTATCCAGCTAACTCTTCTTACTCATCTATACCAATTTATCATGTATTATTTCAGAACCAGTCAATTTTTGTTTTTGTTTGATGGTGTTACACGAGGAAGTGTTTAAATGATGATAGATAATAATTGAAAAAGAAATAAAAGTATTCAAGTTAGAAGCAACATCATTAATGTAAAGTGTTCCATAAGCTTAGTAGTAATATAATTTTGACAAATATTTGTACATACTTATAAGGATATTAAGGGAATAGTGGAAACAAGTAATCATAAGTATTAACCTAGAGAGTGTTCAAAGGTGATAGTAAGGTGCCCGCATCGCAAAAATCAAGTGAAATTTTTTTTTCGACTTTTTTTAATATCATTTGATAGAGCTTGAGCTGCTGATCACAAAAAACCACTTTTAAGCCTAAGTGAATGTTTCCTTCTGATCGAAAAATACGAAATACTAGAAGGGTGTTGTTTTCTTCAAAAAAACATCTTTTTCAAAATGTGCGAAACTTTCTACTTCATTCTTTTTTTCGGTTTCTGAAAATAATTTTTTCAGATGCAGCATCAACAATTGAGTACAAGCAAGTTGTTAAATCGACTCACGACCTCAAACTCTATTGGTGGTGGCACTTCGAATCGCGTCGAGTGAGATGCGTATAAGTCGATTTTGTAAACCTATCTAGTTTTTTGCCGTAAGTGATGAAGTCAAATATTTTATCTAATTCAATTCATCATACCATCAGTCACAAAGTTACATATCCTTTTTAATCTCCTCTTCTTGTCTTTGTCGAGAAAAACCGTGTTTATTGCGTTTTGACCCAAATAGCTAGATTTCTGCTCATAATCCTCAATTTTCTACGCCAAAAATTGGCCTTTATATAAAAAAAGATTATCATAACTGGAATAAGCGTAAAAAATCGAGTCGATTGATGTATATTTTTAATAGTTTCTAATGATTTCAGTCTCTTTCTCGAGTTTTCACCTGTGACGATAGCTGAAAATTCCACCAAAAAATCAAACTTGATTAAAAGTGTGGAAACATACATTAATCGATTCGATGTTTTACTCTGATCCCGAATATGATAATCTTTTTATATAAAGTCCAATTTTTAGCGAAGAAAATTGAGAATTACGAACAGAAATCTAGCTATTTGGGTCAAAACGCAATAAACATGGTTTTTCTCCATGCAGAAAAGAGAAAGAAACTTTTTTGAAAAAGTTTTGATGCCCAACCAACAGAACCTAGTTATAGCTTACTAATATTCATCTATTTCATCGCACCCTTAATGTTACAAGGAGCAAGACTAAAAAATAGAGTGTGGGTATACGCATGCTATTATAATTGGTATCCTGCGGTAACGGGAATGATATTCCTGAAAAACACTTTGTTTTGTTTCTTTTTATGTGTATTCAGATATTTTTATATAACACTTTTTTTTCCATTCGTCATCATTTTTATTCATGATAAGCTGTGCAAAAGTCTTTGAAAAAATGTTGAGACTCATTTCTCAACACCCTGACATCGAACTTGATTCGAACTTTTTTTTTTCTTTAAAAGAGCAAAACTTGGAGAATGACAAAGGTCAACATGGTTAAAATTTTTGCTTTCACTTTATTATGATGAAAGTCAATTCCTGAACACAATGCTCAAAATATCTTAGCAACTTGATTTTTCGATATTTTCAGTCGGTGATTCCGTGTTCTGAAAAGTAAATGGGAATTTTTTAAAGTTTATGTTTTAGATACAATTTCTTTTAGCTCTATCTAACGGTATATCCGTAGGAATGCAACAATTCCTGTTTTTCCGCAAAAAGATTATGAATTTTCGGTATGAAAACCCTCAAATCCACTCAAATCTTTATGTCAATTATATGCAGTTTTATTCGTTCTATCTGATAGTATTGTTTATTTACCAAATCCCATAAGAGATTTGATGGATTTGGTGAATTTATGCATATTTTTCGACAAATCTCGCCAAATCTTTACCAATTCTCATATGGGATTTGGTAAATAAACAATACTATCAGATAGAGCGAATAAAACTGCATATAATTGACACAAAAATTTGGGTGGATTTGGGAGGGTTTTCATACCGAAAATTCATAATCTATTTGCAGAAAAACAGGAATTGTTGCATCCCTATATATCCGAGTCACGGCATGTAGGCATTGAAGTGATAGCAGTTGTCAAATAAATGTTTTCGAATGTCACAATAGTTTTCGTCCAACCAGTAGGACAGATACTCTCACACAGCATAAATCAACTAGAGAAACAATTTTTTATTTTATGTATATACTCTCCAAACTTTACGCTGTCAAACAAAAAAAAACAGTCTAGGTCGATCCGATGTTACATTGTTGAGAGATAAATTTTGACATTCTTTCAAAGGCGTTTGCAGTGATTATTTATTATTAGAAATGTAACAAATATCTACTAACTAAAATCCGATAAGTTCATTCACTATTCATTAAATTGTAATTCAATTATTACAAATTGTACTTTCTGTATAATTATTATCTTCGAAAGGACTACTATTCAACACTCACACTCACACTCTCATCCTCATTGTCCGAGTTTCTTCAAAATTATGATGTATATCTATAAATAATGGTGATCGTTTGGCTTACTATCATAGATGAATATAATTCTCGATGACACTAAGAAGAATTTACGTGAATTCAGATCCATGCTCCACAGGTCAGAACTGATTATTGTTTCGCTGCTTTTTCGAATCGTCGATAGAATTTTTTTTATATATTGACTAGAAGGATTTTAATATGTTTAGGATAAAAATCTGCTTTAACAGAACCCTATAGAATCATCTGATCTATCCAATGACTAATTATTTCTAAACTGAACATCTTTCATTCGTCATACAATAGGTCAGAAATATAAAAAAATTTTGATATAAAAGAATCTTAGATTTTCAAAAATAAGCAGAAACCTGAAATTTATTTTAATTTTTATTAAATTCATGTACGTATCTAGTAGATGGTTGAACTACTTAATTGAATAAACTTTAATATTTGAAATGTCTTTCATTGAAGACAACATTGAAGCGTCCAGAAATATATTTCAAATACGCAAAACAACATTATTTCCTATTACAACTAAAAGTATAAAGTACAGGTTTTCGTACTTAAGTATAAGTATAAATACTTTCGTTCAAGCTTTGTATTGTGTTATCGTCGGACTCTACTTTGTCGTTTACATCATCGTTATTGTGCTGTTGGGTAATAATGGAGAATGCATACGTCACATCTCTCCATTCTGTTTTGTCGAGACAGAAGAAAGAAAAAAAAAGGTTGAATGATGTAAGAGCATAGAAAAAAAAGCCATTTACTATATACTTTCTTCTTTTTTTTTGTTCGTTCTGTGTTACATTTTTCTTTCCTTTTGTCTTGTTATTGAGTAGTATTAACGGGCACATTTCTTTCTATGAGTTGCGCTTGCTGACACAAGAACATCGATTTATTTGCCAATGGAAGAAAACGAATGGTCATGTAATCAACCATCGTTCAGTGATCATCATCTGGAATATTTAGATGAATTTTTGCAGTTGAGATGTGCTCCGGAGTTGATAACTATGGGTTTATTTCCAAATTCCAAAGAAATTACGGAATCATTTGCAATTTGGTCAGCATTAAGACAATTCATATTTCCACGAATGGAACAAAAATTACCAACATCTGAATCTATTGACAATCGCCAAAATGCAATTATTGTTGTTGGAGATGGTATGACACCTCGTACAGCTGCTCTATGTGCATATTTAACAAAAGGATTATGGCAATGTTATAGTATTGATCCTATGCTTCAATATGATACATATGCAGATATGATATCTATTAATCGACGAAGTATTACAACAGTTAATCATTGTACAGAATGGAAATCCATTAAAGGTTTAAGAATGGCGCGTGCCAAAATTCAAACAGTATCTGTTCAATGTCGAAAAGCAATCGTAGTTATGATGCATGCACATGTAACTTTAGAAGATGCTATTGCAGCTATTGATGCATCAGAAGGTATTATTGGTATTATTACATGTCCATGCTGTAAATGGACTTCTTTTCAACAACAATGGCAAGGACAACCGCCACATCACAAGTATACGGACTTAAGACTATTAAGTGCTAAGAATGATATGAACGTATGGTATTTTCCACAAGGCTGTGATAATAAACCGACCATCATCTCAATGAATTCTACTAATATTACAATAGCTGAAGACAAACAATTGACAACGAAACAGACGATAGAACGTAATATATGGGGCATAGACACAAGTATTAGTGAAAATATATTATCTAGTCGAGATGGAGTGAAACAACGAGCTATTGAATTATGGCCACAAATATTTTCAAATGGCAGTGAAGCATTCAGCACTACTGAATCAGATACGATTGCATTTAATAGAACAAAAGACTCAGATATGACTCAATCTACTATTGATGATTCAAAAATGTGGCCTTGGGCATCAACATCATGGTCACCAAAAGATATATTACCATTAATGAAATCATATTGTTATAGTTCAACATCATCATCATCATCATTAGACGTACGTGACAGTCTTCCAGTTTTACCTTCATGGTTTGGAAAGCCTGTTTTAGTCGTAGGTACTATTGCAGCTGTGCGACGATGCAAACATACGATTTTCTATGAATTGCATACTTGTGTCATTCCTTCAAAACCACTTGAAGATATCCTGCGACTTGCATGTGATACATCATCTATGAAAAATACCATCGTAGAAAAAATACATGCATCAGCTGACACATTTCCTGCATTATTAAAATCTGCTGATCGTATGTGGACATGTGTAGAATATCAACGACATCTTCAAGCTGTTGCTAGTTATGATGCAACGATCGGACGAAAAACAAAAGATCGTAATTCGAAAATACATATCAATGATACCATAGCACCATTGAATACCGATCGGGTAAACGTAATACTATCGTTATTATCTTACGAACGTAGAAGTACAGCTGCTAAACAACATAAATTGTCTACGCATACAAATAGCAATAGTCAATCTGTACATACGACTTCTACACATTTGCAAGGTAAAGATCATATAAAAGTGAAATTATTTGATAATAATCCACAACCACGTCAATCTCTATTTCCTTGGGCCATGTCTTTACGGCCTGGTGATATTTTAGTTGCATATTGTGAATTGGGATGTAACGCAAGGCAAGGACCACAGTTATGTTTAGTTGACGGAATTCTACTCTTCGATACTATGTTACATGTGATCTGCGCTGATCGTCGTATTCTACGATAGTGAATACATCAACAACTATTTATACAGTTAAACTTAAAAGTCAGTTAATTAACATTTGCAAAAACTATCATGCAGATGTAGCACCATGAATTAAAAATATGGTTTTACGGTATGTGTGCCAAATTCAATACATAAGAATCGATGACAGTTCACAAGCTTATCCAAAAAAAAACATGTAAAATGATCATAAATCACAACTGTATCTATGTCGAAAAATTTGTGTATGTAAGCATTTATATCGAACAATTATAATAGTTGTTTAATTTGTAATCATTTTTATTTTTAAATAAGATCACATTTGAAAGCATAGATAAAACTGAACAATAAAAACTATATATTTGTTTTTACGACAAGAAAACGATATTTAAAATTCTAAAATAGGATTGAAATGAAAATGATTCCATTATGTTTCGAAAGATTTGTTTTTAGCTTTGAACGAAAAATAGTATATTTTTAACAGAGGAAACATTTTCTCACGGTAGATAATTATTCGTAGTTTACATAAGTTATACAGAATATTTTCTGTGTAGATAATAGACTAAAATATTCTATCTTTTTTTTTATCCATACATAACACAAAAACTTATTATCAATACTTCATATTGTACATTTGAAATAATTAAAGAATAGAATAATCAAATTTTTCAATTTCATCTATCGTCATATAATAATTATCTTTGATAAACTTTGAGGTCTAGGAACATTTTTCATAAACTCAACAATCAATTGTTATTATTAATCGGTTTCTATCGTGAGAATGCTTCCATTTTTGTTCCATTTATTTAACTAATCAAAAAAAAACAAAGCTTACAAAAGAGAAAAGTAATAATAAATTTCTTTTGAATATATTATAATCTATTCACAAATGATTCATATCATTTTAACATAGTTGACTCGCGTTGCATCTATTGTAAAATTCTCTGTCACTCTTGTCAAGTTGTCATATTTTATTTTGGTTAGGTGACGTTGATGAGTTTTTGTATGAAGTTGACATTGTTCAATATAATTCATATGTACATACATGATATCAAGTGATGTGAGATGACGATATTCGATAATTAAATACGATTGATAATATGAAATTTCTTCAGAAATGGAAAAGCTTGAGCAATTGAAATGAAGAACTCTTGTTCGAATGGCATTGTATTGTACACCCATCAGTAAGTAACACTATTGACGATTCTTTCGAGATGATCAAATGCGAACGAAAGTATAAAAACATAACATAAGATATTGTAAGTGATCGTGTAATCTAATATACAAACTACTTGCTCATATCCGATTTTAGTAAAAGTTCGTTGAATATTATCATTAGATAAACAACAAAATGAACCATATATAAGTTAGTACGAGTAGTTATATAGAAGATGAATTGATCAAGTTGTGTCATATGAACAAAAATTTCATTATATAGATTAGTACCATTGACAAATTTACGTCGCTCGTTAATCTAAAGCGACGACGAAGAGATAGAATTTGATTATGATGTTCAGAAGTTACATCAGAACATGTTAAGAAAAAATATCTTAAATTAGGTAGACCATCTTAGAAAAAAATGTAAAGCAATATTTATTTATCAAATTGTCTAAGAAAATAGTCACTTAATTATTTGCCTATGAATTAACGTGACACAATGTCTTTAATGAAATTGAAGATTAGCAATTCAGTCAGATTAAGATAGTCAACAGTATAGATTACCTGCGATTATTGCACCAACAATTTCGCCTGATGAACAATGTCGTGCAAGAAAGGATAATCATTCGTCGAGTACATTTGTTACAATCGGTAATACAATTTCAAAATAAGGTCGAAATGTGGCACGATCAAACACAGTTACAGGATTGTGTGCCATAAATTCTTCGGTTAATAATCGGACGCACTCACCATTATCAATCATGTTATTTTCTGTTGACTTTTTGAGTAATATGTAAAAACAAAATATTTATTTGTTAAATGTAGCGTTTGTTCTACTTTTCTTTGTCTCCTACTCATAGCATACTATGTCTTATCTATAGATATGTTGGATTCTAAAAAAAAAATCGAACACTTGAAAGTGTTCAGTCTCGGTTTGTTGTTTAGATGACATGTACCGATGAAAATGGCTTTTCATCGACTTGTATTCAAGATAGATATGCGACGAACTTAGATGACATCATTCACTGTTCATCATGTCCTAATATTGTATGCAAATCATTTGCTTGTCAAACCTACAGTACTTCCTTCTGTCCGACATATATCAATCAAAGGCTTAACACAAATGCTGATCAATGTTCAATACAATACAAGAAATTTATCCAGAAATCATGTCTTTCATTGCTTACCAAATTTGAGACTGTTATTGCTTAAAAATCGTGTAATTATTCCACTCTTATTGTTTAGAATCGAAGATTCTAATCGATTCTTTATCATTTAATATCGGATTTGTGACAATATGATCTAGTGCTTCCAACACAGTTCACAAGGGTGTGGACATAGGGTGTGAGTTTGGAAATCTACTTTCTCTCTATCTTCATTTACATCCACACCCCTAGATGGCATACATTTTTCATAACATTGTTCTCTTGCTTGATCCATGTCGAAAGCACAAATCGTATAGTATCAAAATAGGCTCTCATTCATTTGAACGTTTCTCATCGGACTGGAATCAATATTTCATTAGAACTCTAACGAAACATCTAACATTATTTTTATGACAAGAAACGGATGCGGTGTCAAGCAACTTTCAAAATTATTTTTAGCAGTATTCTTTAGATTTCCTATCACTTCTGCACGAAAGTTATTATTCTGTTAATGTTCTTCTTATCCTTGAGAAGAGCCATTGTTGAGTTTTTTTTTGTCTTGTAGTTTGTCGCATGTTTGCTCGTTAGAGATGGTTGTCTAGAAGGAACGAAAAAAAAAAGCAATCTTCGTTTTCTTTTTATTCAATGCACCACTTGGAAAGAAGTGTTTCGATAACGTATAAGGTGAGCTCGATTAATAATGCAGTAACGAATTGGCTTCGAAAGAACAAACACGTGTTTTTAAGCATACCACTTCATTTTCTTCGAGAGTGAAAGGAGTATTGAGTAATAAAATATACCATTGTGTGGTTTGCAAACAACCATGCTGTGAATAATGAACTGAAGTAGTAACTGTATTTTGTGAGACGAACTCATCGAGGATAAATGATATTGGTCAACATTTTTTATTAACGAAATTTTGTTTTTTTTTGTATTCGACATAGTCAACAAATATGTTCATGTAATCATCACAGTTATTTATTGTTTTTTGTGTTCTAGAAATGACAACATCAGAGACAATACATCCAGCATGTCAATTTCGTAGTGGTGAGTACAAAATAATTTTTGTTGATCTCGAAGTTTGTTGAATATCATGCGGCAGTCACTTCAAACAAATTCTGAATAATTCAATTTGAGATGATGATGATAATGTTCTGAAGAGGAAACTGATTTCATCTTCAGTTTTGCTATCCAAAAATCAAGTGCTAGCTTGAAAATTCACTTGAGCAATCAATACTTTTATAGTGTTCTTGTGTCTTCGCCGTTTTAATTTGCGATATAACTAACACAAAGAGATGATAAAGGTGCATCATGGCCTTTTTGTATTACGTCTTTTCGGAATGACAGAAGGCTTCTTGTCCAGAAAAAAAGGCGACTTCTGTATAATAGACTTATTTTTGGAGAGTAAACTGCAGCCATCTATGAATGTTGTCCTAGTTATCACACTCATTTTGAGCTCTCAAATTATACAGTATTAAAACCAATTCCGCAATTTGAACTTTTGTCGATAAACTTATTGAAAGATTTCAACTTTTCGATCAATAATTCAATATCTAAATAACTAGAATATCCGACAGGACATTGACAATTTCGAATGCTAAAAATATTATTTAGTAAAAAACAAAAAGGTCATGTTAGACTTTGTTAAAAAATAATAGGTCCTATCAAAGCCCAGATATGTTCAGATTTCCAAAATGATGAGAATTTCTCAAATGCTACAAGAAACCATTAAACACCAAGTTAGAAAAATTTTCAACAAAATTCCAAAAGTTCCGTGAACTTAGTCATACTTCTCATCAAAGCCAAAGGTAAATTTACTAGATATTAAGAAAATTACTCTAATAATCGCGACAAACTTCGAAAGAAATTCCGAAATTACTCAGAAAGTATGAAGTTGCAAAATATTTTCAGTTCGCCCAATTGTATTTGAGAAGTTCCGAAAACCATCCATAAAAGTGTCTTGTTACGAGAGAAATCTACTGTTTTGTAGATGATTTGAGAACTCAATTTATTCATTATTTCAATTAAAAATTAGATTTTACTGTATCAGAATTCGATCATGGAAAAGAAAAATATTCTGAGTTTTCTTTTATTTCAATAAATTTAGATAAACCTTGGCTCGATAAACAATTTCATGATATTGAACAAACATCCATCAAAAAGCCTGATGAACTAACATCCGAACTTCAAGATCCTGAGAGCAAAATCAATGAACAATTGCTCAATCGTATTCTTGGTTCTATAATTGGATTACTTTTGGGTGATGCGCTTGGTGCACATGTTGAATTTAGACCACATGACTTCTTAAAGGCCAATCCCGTCACTGAATTACAAGGCGGCGGAACATGGGGCCTCGAAAAAGGTCAAGTAAGCAATATTTAATTAAAAAGAAAAACTTTTATATAATGCAAAATTATTCATTATGCTCATGAATCAATAATTAATTTTTTTTTTGCTTTAGTTTACCGACGACACATCCATGGCTCTCTGTCTCATGAATTCACTAATTGCACGCCATGGGTTTGTACCGTATGATCAATTAGTTCGCTATAAATGGTGGTATAAGCATGGTTATATGTCATCAACGGGACTCTGTTTTGATATTGGCTCAGCTACTAGTCAATCAATCAGAGAATTTGAAAGACGTCAAACGATATTTGCAAATGAAAACAATATTCCTCTTGATCAATTAGATTACTTATCCGATTATAAACTTCTCAATGAATTTAATGTTTATTGTAGTCAAGAAGACGTAGCGGGAAATGGTGCTCTCATGCGTTTAGCTCCCGTACCACTTTTCTTTCATCGAAATCCTAAAATTGCAGTTCAATATTCGGGTATTAGTGGTCGAATTACACACGGTGATCAAAAGGCTTATGATTCATGTTGCTATTTTGGTGCTCTTATAGTCGCTACCCTTCGAGGCGAAACGAAGAACGACTTGCTCAGTAATAGATTCTATGACGATCATAAAGATTGGTTCAATGATGAACCTCTCCATCCTGATGTTCAGCATGTAGCTGATGGATCATTCAAGCGAGCCGGAGGTTATGAAGATGGTATACGAGGTAAAGGTTATATTGTTAGTGCTCTCGAAGCTGCTCTATGGGCTTTCTGGAGTGATGAAGATTCATTCGAGAAAGGTGCTCTTGCTGCTGTTAATCTTGGTGATGATACAGACACAACAGCAGCCATTTATGGTGAATTGGCTGGAACTTATTATGGTTACAAGAATTTACCTCAAAAATGGCTCGATAGTATCTATGCAAAAAACTTCATCATATGCTTATGCAAATGGATGACATATGAGGCAGAAAAGTTTTCTGATGGTTCAATTGATCGTCACGATTCTGAAGATCACTCAATAGTTGAGAGAACATTCACTGAACAAGACCCGATAACAATGGAAGGTTTTCCACCCATCATCATTTCAACACCACCTAAAATGCCGTCTATACAGCGTACAGCAATCGATCCAGTAGGCAAACTTGGTTCGCTCTATGATGCATATCGAGATCGTCTCATTGTTCAATCCGATAATATTGTTAAAAAGCAACAACTATCTGTACTAACTAAAACAATGAAATGTTTTGTAAGAAAAGGAAATTCTCACGAGCATCTAAACCTTCTTCAAATGATTGATATTACAAATGAATTACGTTTGAGTGTAGAATTCAATATTACACCTGCTCTCGGAATAGCTAAGACAATCAATTATTCTTTACCGATTGACGTTCACACACGATTTCTCTATTATAACTATCTGGATCGAGAAGAATCATTGTTCGACAATACTGATGATAGTAGTCGATCAATTTCAGCATCGAAACTTAAAACTCAGGCTACTCACGTGGTAACAGGTGTCAGTTGGGGAATTGAAGTTCTTGCCATTCTACAATTATCACCCGACGATGCATCCAAGATCGATAATGTACTCAATCAAATACGTCAATATTTAACGAACAATGACACTAATCTCGACATGACATCAGATGAAAAGCGTTTACTTAATCGAATCAATCGCACGACTATCTATTCGAATATTTATAAACTAACTAAAATAACGAACGTACTTGATCTTTATTGTAAAATTGTTGATGTTCGAATGAATCGTACTCGTCACTCACCATTGACTTATACACTTTGTCCTATACGATTTCTATATCCTGAATATTCAGAACGTGATGTAATCTATATTGCATTAGAACCACGAATTATCGAGAAAATTGAATTATATTTACTTTCATTATCTTTTCAATTCAAGATATTAAAAAAATTATTAGAACGTAAATCTTTTCAATCATCAGATGAGTATCTTTGTCAACAATTTCTTGATGCACAAAATCAATTTTCAAATTTGGAAAAAATCTACACAAAACAAATGAAAACATTTCAAGATTGGATTATTGATATTCGCAAAGGAAAAATTTCTTCAAATGTAACTATTCAAGAATTGATTGATAATGATCAAAATGGATTAAAAGAAGCTATTAATAACATTATTATTCGTCTCAATAGTTTAAAAGAAAGAGGAAGTTCATTGCATGATCGACAAATAACACAAACCGAACATGATTCATACAATGATCATCATGATGCAAATATCAAATATCAATCAACAAAAGATGAACGAAATGAAAATTTCAAGTATCCAATGGATACATCGGACGAGAAGTTTGATCAAAATTCTTCATCATTTGTCGAACTTGAGACATATCATGAATCCGTTATTCCGTATATTGATCGTCCATTGAGATCAGACAGTACTGATGAGTTGTTATTAGACGATAAAATTAGTACCGTACATGTATCACATTCGAAGACTTCATGGTCACCACGAACACATCCTGAGTCTTCTTCATTAATCCCAACCGAAGAAACAACAAACATACTTCTTCTTGGTGAAATCGGTGTTGGAAAATCAACTTTTATCAATGCTTTTGCTAACTATTATTCATTTGATACATTCGATAGTGCTCAATTTGACACACCGGTCGTTGTAACTCCAAGCTCATTTCTGATAACGACACGTGATTCTTCTGTAATCTCAATACATGCCCGACTTGGTACATCGAACTCCAATGAAATACAAGATAATTATGATCATTCAACGACTCAACAATGTAAATCCTATCTATTTCACATGCATGACGGAACAAAGATTCGATTTATTGATACACCAGGACTCGGAGATATGGATGGCTGGAATCAAGATCATCTACAAATGCAAAATATATTATCATTTATCAATAATTTGCCATATTTAAATGCCGTATGCTTTTTACTTAAACCAAATTTTTCAAGATTTTCTGTTTATGAATCTTGTTTTCAACGACTTTTTACTTTTTTTGGTGAAAATATCCGTCAAAATATTATTTTCTGTTTTACACATTCGTTTTCCATGCAATTCAATTCTACTGATGGAATTCGTTTATTTGAATCACAATTAAAATCAATATCAAATCATGGAATTCGAATGAAAAAAGAAAGTACATTTTATTTCGATAGTGAATCTTTTCGTTATTTAGTTGCTTTACATAATTCAATTGAATTCGATGATGCATCAATGTATCATATAAAATCCAGCTGGTCAAAATCGAAGATTGAAGCGATACGTTTTCTTCGATATATTAAAATGCAACTTATTCCATTTCAAATCGATCGAAAATGTCAATCGATTGAACATGCTCAACTTGAAATTCAATATATGATCCGTCCCATGTTAGAAACAATGCGAAATAGGTTGCGAAATCATCTCTTGTGGACTAGAGATTCATCAAATACATCAATCGAATTATGTCCAAAAGCTATTTCATCTAATATAGCACTTTGTTTATCATGCCAGTCTCATTGTGATCGGTTTGGAAAGTTTTGGATATGTCTCAACAAGCAACATAAATTGGATAGAAACAAATGTTTTTCTTGTATTTGTAACTTGAAACGTCATGTTTCAATCGATTATCAACTAGATTATAAGTTGGCATTGAATCAACGCAAATATAATTACAATGAAATGACCAATATTATTGAACTAATCAAACTTAGTGCATATTTTGCTAATGTTCTTCTATGTGGTTCTGATGATTCGCAAAATGATCCATTCTTGTTTAGTATCGATCAAATGATTAAGGAAGAATATTTTATTTATTCACATTATCATCCAAATATTTTCAATTTGAAATTATATGACTCACTCAAAGATCTCAAGCGTCATTATCAACAAGATATGGAGGAAATGTCCAACAAGCAAAGAGATTATATCGATTTATCTCGTATTGATGAACGAATCAAATATGTTAGCACTTTGCCAATGATAGACGAACAAATAAATGCTATAAAACAAAGTCGTGAATTGTTTATTATCGAACATGAATATCAAGTATCGCTCAAAAACAAACGTAAATCATAATATGTGACTATATAAAAATAGTTTTATATCATATGATTTTTCGATAGAGTTTCTGAAGAAATGAAAATAGAAATACTCTTCAAACAAGTAGATGTAGCTCGGTTTTATTGATTATTATAATAGAATAAAGACAAAAATATGATAAGAAAGAAAAATTGAAAATCGAGTTGAAACATCTTTTTTTTTGTTTTCATCAAAAGAGAACTCTTGACATTCTATATCAAACTATATATGATACAATTCAAAAATTTTTAACTCGTAAAAATTTATCGTAATTTAGTTAGAATGATTTCAAAGCGAATAATTAAGGTATGGATAAAAATTATTAGAAACATTGGCTCTATCAATTCATCACACTATTTCGATCATCCACACGTGGTTCGAACAAAAGTGAATGTCTCAAAGGTGAAATGATGCCTACTTTTAAAGAAATAGTTGTCAACAAGACAATTGTTTATTGAAACAAGGTGCGTACTGCTGCTGCTATTGCAAGAAAATCTTGATTATTTGACCTAGACGATCTGCAGATTAGCGGAATTTTTTCAAGATTCATACGCGTAACCTTAATGAAAAATGGTGTACAGATCACTTTTGTACATTCATACAGAAAAACGATTAAGCACTGAATCTATCTAATTTAAATCTATTAGATTATAGTTTATAGAAGGAACCGACTGAAACTATGAGATGGAATCATGTAACCAAAAAAAAGCAACATTCTTCGAGAAAATAAAACGTTCTGTCATAAAAGTTGAAAAAGAAAGAATTTTACATTCTGTACTTGATTTTACTGTACGATTACGTTTAATCTAAAACAATGGAAGAAACTATATTTGTTAAATAACATATATCATTTTGTGCAGAATTTCAAGTGCTTCAACCAAGAGGATAGAAAAAGAGAAATTTAAAAAATACTAAGAGAATAATTTCTTCTTCACCAACCCGTTATTTTATTATCAATATAATATATTCATCAATGAGTGTGAGTGAAGAGAAAACCTGCATCGGCACCCTTCATTAGTTTTTTTTCTTACACCAATCAATAAATTTTGTCAGATATGATGAATCTTAATGGAAAATTGCAGACATGAGCGACTATATCGTACACAATCGCTAATAGTCATATTTATTGGATATGGTCTTTTCTTCGAAACCTGAGTTCTACTAGCCGATAGTAAAAAATTGTGATTACTACAAAAAGTCTTGTCTATTGTTTGAGTATCATGTATTTATTTTCTCGAACACCAGAATACGTAGGCATTTATCGTCATCATTCAATCGATCACCTGGTTATTTATTGATCTTATCGTGTACTGTACTGTAATTCGATTCTTTAAAATAATTTTTTTAATTCTAACTGAATATGATTGTACTTTAAAAAGAAAAAAGAACTACGTAATTTGTTAGAGTCTATCGACGAATTGAAAATTATGAATTGATGATGTTTGTTTATTGATTCTCATAAGCACAAATAGAACTTGTCGCCGTCCAGCATTTGTCTTTGTGACAATCGATCCAATCAGCATGTTCAAATAAGGCACAACGTTGCGTTGGACTGGTGCTTTTTCTGAAAGAGAAGTCTCACTAAGTCACAGTAGTAAAAAGAGACAAGCTGTTTTTTTACCGTTTCAATAACGATGAATCTCTTTCAGTAATGGATAATAAGATTAGTTCATTGTTCGAATTGAGAACTAGGCGATCTTTTGAAATTTGAATATTTGGCGAAAGATTTTCGATGAAGAGTTTCTCCAAAACTTGCCCATCATAGACTCGATACATCAATAGTAATGACTCTTTTTGAGATATTCCAAATAGATATTTGCCATCTTCTGTAAAACAGAAGACATCACAAAATATTTCCTGTCGAATTGCTCTAAGTAATCTGTCATTTTTAGCAGAATAGAAGAACCATTTATTACTCGTGTGCTCGATAAGAGTTAAACAGTTGATGTCTGTCTCGTCAAGATGATGGTCAAGAGTTAGAATGATATGTTCATTTTTAATATCCCATAAATAAGCTCGTTGATTATGATCGTAAAAGACCAAAGCAGTTTGCAGAGTATACAGATTTCTCTTATCTTAATGTTATGATCAAGCAATATGGGAATAAATTTGATCGTCTTCTCTTGCATATTCCACATGGCTGATATTGAGTGATCATCGGCTAAAATAAATAATTTCATTCGGTCAGACATGATAGTACTTAATAGAGAACAACAGATGAAGTTGAGACGTGCAACAGATTGTAGTTCAAATGAATGGTTTGTATCAATTAGAAAAAGTTGACTAGTCTCAGCATCAATGATTAAGAATGATGAGCCAAGTGCATATACTTTGATGGAATGATGTTGAAATTCGTTTGTTTGATAGAGAAGTTCTGAAGTTGAACTAATTGAATAGATGAAGAGAGTATTATCAGAATTTAGTAGAAGTAAATAAGATGTGATAGTAGCCGATTGTGTAATAGTAAAAAATATCTGTAGTTGCATGATAAGAGATAATCGATCGGCAAAGGTGAAAAGATTCAAAATACTGTAAAATATTGATTTCTTCGATAATTAAATTTATTAAGATTACTCACCATTTTGTTTTGTCTAATGCAACAACAAAATTTCCTTGAATTTCGAAATGATCAATCGAAATTTTGAATGTTAAACCTTTCGGATCTATGATTTTTTTCTCTGGCAAATAAGTTATCATTGTTGTTTTATACCTACGTAATCTCCGTTTTCTAATATGCAACAGACGATAAAACCCCATTCCGAGTCTTTAACAAGAAATATATCTAGAAAAAAGAAACTCTATGAATATGACGAAAACTCACCTATTTGACATGTCCAATGAGAAATTTTTTCATCGAGTTGTAGACGAACGAGTAGACGATACGTATGAAAACGCTCATAAAGTTTCCATTCGTATATATCAATTCTTGATTCATTTCGATTGAGACAACAAATAAAATTTCGCTTTAATTGATATCTTGTATATACATCATGATATTCACCGGAAATAATGAAATAATTACCACATGAATGAAAAATAACGACAGAATCAATAGTCAACCATATTAATGCACTCTGATGCCGATCGCTGAAAAAACTTTGACTATAAATGACATGATTCAGTAAAGGTAAATTATCGATTTTTTCGAGACGATCATTTTCAGCACGTTCGAAATAGTAGAGATAAATATGTGATTGACCTTCAGAATAATAAACATCAGTTTTGAGATTAAGAAAAATATTTTGTTTATCCGGTTTTTTATTTAATGTTGCAACAAGTTGAAAGCGAATTTTTCCTTGAACATTGGTAGCAATCAAATAATATGTTAAACCAGTTTCAAGTGTCACTCGAATCGTTGCACCCATATGATGTTCAATAGTCGAACATTCTAAAATGGGAGCATCAAATATATATTGTTCAATCAATGTCTTATCTAAACAATGCCATAGATCGATCGATCGATTATCTCTCGAACAAACAAATAATTTATCTTTGTATATAAAATCAACATGTATTATATGGTTATAATTTAAATGAAGTCCAAAGTGATCATCGAATTTTTGAAAGACTAAAATTGATTGTAACGAATAGAAACAGATATCATTCAAACCAAACTTGATCGAAGTGAATTCATTTGAAGGTAATTTATATTCAAATATTTTACCAGTCCAATCTTGTGCATAAAACCGAAATATAAGAAATCTTTCTGGACGAAATACATAAAGAGTACTATATGCACCAAAGATGGCATTAACGACACCTATTTGATATTTGTTCATAGTTGTAGTGAATGTTTGTGTATTACTTTCCAACATGCGAAGCATACAATTACTTAAACATTGCTGAAGTAGATTGTAGATAAATTCAGGCAGTATTTCGATAAAAGATGCTAGACGAGATACAATTTCAAAGGCAAAATTATCTGGATATTTATCCAGGATAGTAGAGCAACTCATGTATTGTGTAAGAAGAAATCGAATTTCGGGAGAAGAAGAATCGGCCACAAATCGATCACTCATTTTGTAACAATGAAGAAAACTCCACATAAAATCATAATCATAGAGAAAATATGGTTCAGGTCGATAGGCATCTAAATTTAAACACAGTTGATTAATTCGTCGTATATTGAAGATGCATTCTTGTTCATTTCTATTCAGAACATATGGTTGTTGTTTTGTTAGACATCGATCAACGACTAGTGAAGTAACACTGTTGTTCATCTTTTCGATAAGTTTTTTCGATTCGATTATGAATGGTTGATCATATAAGTTCGGCAAATTGCCAATAGGACCAGCAAAATAAGCACGTCGAATCGTTTCAATAGGTTTTTCTTGATTAATATTGAATATCGAGTGTTGTTGAAAACTGCGATGATAACTATGCACAAAACAAAACGAGAATTGAATATAATTTTTAATAGAAACAAAAAAAGAATGGATTCTAGAATATTTTTTAGTAAATCTTCTTACAAGTAGATAATGAGTGTACTATCAATTTTTTTTTCTATGAGATATTTGTGCATATCATTACGAATACGAATCCACAGAGTACTTGGTAATCGAAATATATTCGTTGGAGGAAGATAATGAACAAAAATTGACTGCAAAACTTTGTCATCTGCACTAAGAATATCTTCCAATTCGGTCTCACTAAGGCCACCCGCTAGCCTCAAATATGTCATCGCTCGTTTGAATAAAATATCTCCATGTTTTTTGGATAATTGATTGTACAAATAGTTTATGGCATCTCGGGTCGAATGTATTTTAAGAAAATCACGATCAGGTTTGTCATTGAATGAACGCCATGTTTGGGTTATTTGATATACCAATGAAAGAAATAATGGAGTAGGTTCGGGATCACTTCGGTTCGGACTATATGACTCGAATTTTGGTTGCAACCAAGTCATTTGAAGCGGTGAAAGACGTCGACCATCACGTTCTAACCATGAATAGACTACTTGTTGTGCTAGATTTCTATTGAATTCTCTAATCTCAATTAGAGTACCATCAGGAAAGAGAGATATAAGTCCGTCGAGAATTTTATACTCGATTTTCTGTTCTCCGTTACCTTCAGTAATCACTGGTATTGTAGATAGAATGCATTTAATATTCGGTGGATAATTGATTGGAAGCCATTTTTCACAATTATAATCTTCGACTTGTAATTGATCGATCGAATCGAAAAGAAGAATAAGTTGTTCATTGTTTGGAATTTGTGTAAAGAGATTTTGCAATATTTTTTTTAATTCTTCAATTGTTGTGGAATCTTGGACAGAAGATGATGACGTGAGATGATAGAGAATACAGATTTGTTGTATAATCGACATTAATGGTCGACGAATATCACTTGACAATGGTGTTGCACCAAGAAAACGAATGATAATAGAGACCGAACTCGGGTTTGGAAACCATTCTAATACCTAGAACTATTCTCTATCAAATAATGCTAATTCAACAAACTATTCACTTTAGTCGCTATTTGAGCCATAATAGATGATTTTCCCGAGCCTGATTTGCCAAATATCAAGCATGGTTGTGACACATCCGATAAAACAAATGCTCTAACCTATTCAATCAATTACAGAGGTAGAATAATATAGAAAAAAAATTACTTTTTCGAGAATTTCATTTCGTGAGCAATAGCGTTCATTCAACATTCGACATTGTATAGCATGTTCGAGGATTTCATCGTACAAAATATCTTTTGCTTGAACTTTTGTCATATAATAATCGATTTGTCGTTTTATAACAGTATAGAAATCCGTTTGAAATTTGACTAGATAATCGATTCGATTCGAGACATCTTTCCAATTTACCTACAGGAAAAAAAAACGAGAATAGATTGTTTGATAGATTTAGTTTGAACAAACTACTCGATAGTTGAATTGATTTTCAAGTGGAAGTTTCTCTCGAATACTTGATTTTATCTGATTCAATAATATTTCTGTTTCATCATCAGTATCAATCAATTTTGATTTGAGTTTAATATCAAGTTCGTCAATATCTTTAATTTCGCGGAAAAAGGCAACCATCCGTTGTAGATCGATTGCATTATTTTCCAGTGCTCGAACGATTTCCTTAGCCGTCACTAAAATACTCTGAAATCAAATTGAACAAAGAAAAAAAAACTCTTACCAGAAATATGAAATTGATTTCGTTCACTTTGAATAATTTTGTTATTTTCTAAACAGATATCAGCAGCTCGACGTAAGATCGTTGTTAATTTTTTTTCAATTATTCGCCATTTTTCTCTTCTCTCTGGATCGATTGGTCGAAGAACGTAGACAGGTTTAAATAGATTCTCGTCCAAAACATATACTTCATCGATAAGTGTTCTCTCGTCGACAGTCAGAATTAATTTGAACATATTCAACACATCTGATCTAATATAAGTGGGTAAAGGTCGCCATCCATACTTGTGACTCAATAAAACCTGACAATGAATCAATTTATTATCATCTGTAACTCGATACGAATAGATAATTTACTACACAATTGGTAGCCTGTGAGAGGCGACAGCACTGATCTAGTTCTTGTAAACATAGGTCGACAGTGGAATGATCATCTATAGCGTGATCTTGAATGCCCCAGCGCATGTCTGAATACTGAAATTATCCGAGTGCATATGTTACATCGAAATTACATCGGTTGCCGGAGTTATTTTAGCTCAGCGAAACGATTAGTAATCCTTAGATTACAATGCTACTATCGAACAGCATACGTAAAGCGACATTTCCAGATGAACATAGCACATACTTGTTTAGCTATAAATTGAAAAATTTACGAATTTCTATAGAAAAATGGACTTTAAATTGTTTGTTCAGTTCAAGCATTGCTCTATCAAAAAAATATTAGTCAGAGGTTTTTCAAGTCACAAGTCGAATCAGGGCAGATAAAGATCGAAGTTAAGCTCGTGCAATCCGATACGACATAAGTGCAACAGAATTCCGCCGCAATTCGGTGTTGAATCCTGTCGGAATCATCAACCTCGGAACAAAACTAAATTGATTACACGGTATTCATTCTACACATGTATCTCTCGTTTTTCTGTTTATAGCTATATAAATATGCGCGATATTGATCTGAAAACTCGACATTAGCTATGCAGCTCGATAGTAGCATGTAATCAATGGATCACTAATCGATTATTTGAGCCAAAATAAATTCCGCGCGACACAAATCATATTCAGTAGTAGTTAGAAAAATAGACCTGAAATTGTATGTTGTATGTTTTGAGACAGTAATCTCGCAATTTTGGATAGACGTTTTTCATTAGTTCATCACGTTCTTCTATAGTATCTATAATTAATTGAAAAATCAATGTTTCTTTTTTTTTCAATGTTCTGATTAGAAAATAGATTCACCTGAAAATGTGGAACTAATAAAGATTCGTATCGAAGTTGGCCTGCGATCATGAACGCTATCGAATCGACCACGAAGAAGTTCGTTGTTTGATGGCATTTGTTTCAACATATCTAAGAAAAGAACCAAATAAGGCGCCTAGCTTATCATCATGTAGAGTACAATTAGTAGTGACTGACCTTCTATTTCCCTTAGAAAAAACAGAATCCTAAGGGGTGTCCCTAAATTTTTGCACATTTCTTGCATACATTACTACACAGTCAAGTGCTAAAGTTTGGAATTTTTGAAAATTACACTATCGATTTTTTTATCACTATTCGAAGTACCCAATTATATTAATTTGTTCCCATGACTGATGACGAGAACAACGATGAAAATATATGTGATATCTCAAGTTTCTACTGTACTGAGACAAATGTTTGCAGTTTTGCATCGATCTTAATAGAAAAAGAGTTGAAACATATTTTATAGATATGCCCTTTTTTCTCTAATAAAACTTGTTGAAAGCAAGTTTACGTGCTTTTATCAAAATAATCAACCAGTGTTGTTTCAAAAATCATGTTTTATTTTCTTCGGTTCATCTACATTGTTTCATTTCTTTAAGTGACGGATACTTTATTTTTTAAAAAGACCTCATACATGTTTTCTGGAAGATCAAATTTAGGTTTAGATCATCCTTCGAAGAGAAACTTTCGATTTGTCTGTAAAGGTTGAGTAAGAAAATACGAAATTTGGGGTTTGGCAATCAGTTAATAGAGAAATAACTCTATTTTTTGTGCTATATTTACACATCTCACATATTCATCGTTGAAAAACTAAACAGCTATTAACGATTAGAAGATGAGATTTCTTTCTGGAGGTTAGTAAAAATCTAAGCGATAAAAGTAAAATGATTGAAGCCATTTCCATTAATCAATTAATAAGAAGCCAACAAACCGATCACTTTTTGCCGTTTTTCACCAGTCTAAAAGATTTTTTGAGCCGGCCGGATCAATCTGAAATTTGGACCGATCGGATGTGAGTGTGCTTATGAGGTGTGGATGTCAGTGCAGTCCAGGAGAGAAGACGTACACTCATTTCTGTTGCCTTCTATTTTTTTTTTATCGAAAGCCTTATAAGCGAATTGAGAATAAGACTCATTGAAATATGAGTATTCCAGAAAAGACAAGTGTAAAAATCCTTATGTCTTCAGTACTAAACTTTGACCTTGATATCAGTTTTATCATCTGAAAAAAACTTTATGAATTCACTAGTTCTTATTGGTCTAGAAATATTTTTAGACCGAATGGGTTTACTATTTCTTAACTAGTTACAACTCTGGTTTGATAATATATCTTTGAAAAAAAAAAACTATACAAGATTTTACCTTTTTTGCGTAGAGCCTGAAATGCACACCTTTATTGTTTATCATATATGCAACAGGCACACAATTACCATATATGTATGCAGTATCTATACGTTAGTTCTCTTTCTATCGTGGAGTACGTTGACAATTCGTCCTTCGCTTGTGTCATTATTTCAAATAGAAAAGAAAAAGGGAAGGTTTTTTATTGTGATGATAGTAATTAAAAAAAATTCGTCACGTGCACATAGAAAGAGAGCACATCGTCGTTGACAGGCCAACGTCATAGAAGAGATATTCTTATTAGACCTTTTTTTTTTATTCATGTTCTGTAAACAAAAAATGAGAGGAGATAGTGTGAGATGGGTGAAGTTGTGAACCACTGTTGTGCTGTTTTTTTATCTATCTTTTCTATCTCGTTATTTTAGTCATTTATCGAAAATAAATCCGGAAAAGTAAATATACACTGGATCTATGACTTTGAAAGAAGAAGTATGCTCCAATTGAACTCATAGAATGAACGATTAATTGAAAGAAAAGTAACAGTAAACGGATCAAGTACGTTGTTTTTACGACAATATGCAGTAGCATTACGATGAAATACGGTTAGTCGTAAAATGTGGTGATATATCCAACTACGGTCTGTTTGCAATACGGATCGTATTGCTACATCCAATATGTTGAATAAATACGGACTGTTTACGGTACGCAATGACACCGTTTACGACGGTGAGCTAGTTGTTTTTTCATCGTCTACTGACCGAAAACGACCCATAAACGGTATCCGTCTCGATCGACATATGTTGGCGAAGAATTATTTGTAATAGTAATCTTGTGTTTATGCTTATGCACTGATTCTATGTTGATACTCATTCTTCTCGATGTGATATTTGAGTATGATACTGATTCTCGTTAAAATACCGATAATCTGATGGCAGCTGACAGTAAAAGCACTATTTCAAAACTATGCGCACTCCTTCTAAAGACCAGTCCTTTTATTTTTATTTAAAATTTATTTAATACTTTTTCAATGTTTCAAATCAACGCTGTTTATTTTCTCAACGTTTATAACAAGGATACATCTGATTCTAGAGAATATTAAGCATCTCCCCTCAAAAAAAGTCACTTTCCACAAGAGTGATCGAAGTTAAGATAAATTACATAGGAAGATAACTCGCGATCTGACCTTGCGTAAACGACAAAATTGTTTATCTGGCACTTTTTTTTTTTTTTGTAAAAACATTTTGAAGATTTCCGTCATCACCTATTCAAAAAATATGCTGTTTTCGGAAAAGCAGAAAATCTTTTTCGTTTTCTCTCTGTGTATGTTTTTTTCGATAGCGCATCTCAGAATTTTCGAAGGAGCTTTATTGTAGCCAGTTGCTTTTTATTTATTTGAGAGAGCATGACAGAGACCATTTTTTTTTGAATTAAGCTTTGTTACTATTATATACAAAAGTACCTTTATAGTTAGATCGCCATTTTTTGAAAATTTACTGAGACATTAAACTTCTTATACCTTTTCCCCCTTAAAAAGTAAGAGTTTTAAAAAGAGAATTTTAGGTTACAAAATGAGCTATTTTTTATCCTTGCTTGTTCAACATCTCCAGAAAATATTATGATATAGAGCTAAAAGTTTTACCACAACCTCCTCACACTAGTCCCAACATATCCTGAAAATATCATGCCATTTGAATGTTTCTAGTCCAAGATCGATTATTTGATAGAAGGAAGCCCTTAATATCTAGATACAAGTTCGAAAAATATTAGAGAGTCCACACTTGGAAATCGAATTCTCCAGTCTAAAGTTTCGGGTATGGATGAGTATGAGAAAGTCTTATCTTCGCACATAGTAATGCTACACATGCACGGTTACTTACACTCCTCTGTGGACAGAAGTCATTGTTTCGGTGAACTGATGTTTCAGATTATTATAGTATAAATGAGAATACAAACAAAGAATTATATCCATCATATTCGTTTCACTCAAAATCTCCAGCATTGTAACAATCAAAAAAACAGGAAGTTATGAGCATGGCAAGAAATGAAAATTTTCATTCTTATTTCATTTCGAAATTTCATATCATTGCATGTTCTCTAAATAGGCAAAATTTTTTTAAAGACACATATACACCAAGTAAACCTGACAATTTTATAGCATTTAAATATATAACCATTTATGACAATTTACGTCGACAAAATGGGTATTGTACAAATGAAATAGTGTGGATGTGGGTGTTAGTCTTTTCTTCATACATACTCGAGGATTTGTGGACTTGTCAGTTGAATTCATCCAGAAAATTAGATCATTGTTTCTCGTCTTGTTTGGAGTGCCACTCGACAAGTTTTATCTTATAGCTTAATCATATTTCCAATAATGCAAATGTCCTTTTCAATAATTTCAAATTGCTCGTATTTTTATTTAGAAGTTTGAATTAGTATAATAGAAATCTATAAAATAGTGGCAAGACTAAAACAGCAAGTTAGATAAAATATTAAAACCGATAAGATTTCAACTAGTAAACAAATAGAATTCTGTTACAAACATCATGATTTGTACGATACAAGTATAGTTTATGTTTGTAGAAACAATGCATATTGTGAGAATGTTTTGTCTATGATTAAAAAAATTGAATAAAAGGTGGAGCGGGTAAATTCGAATCAGCTGTACTATAGACAGCAGCCTGTTTAAATGGACACGGTGTTTCTTTCCATAAGTAGCGAACACCATGTACTGATTTAGATCGGCATATTATTGGTACTGTAAGTTTGACGGTGATAGGTGATTTTACAGCATAATTTGCTGGTGCAGCTATCCAAGCTGTTTCATTTGACATACATATTTGTTTTTCTTGACAACATATCTGAATAAAAGAATACTGAAAATAGAATGCGAAAGAAAAATTTTGAACATGCCTCAAATCCTTTGGAATTGCGCAATTCAATAGAGGATGAGAAAGTACTCAAGTACGTGACATTAACTCGAGCATCACTATCTCTTGCTATTTCGTTTACAATTGGTCCTTGATAATTGACATTTTTTTGATCATAAGCAATGGCAAGACCAGACCGAGATAGACGATATCCGACATCAAGTTTTGTTCGAGGATGAATACTATTCAACAAAGTTTAAGTATACATTGTGTGCATTAACTTATATTCTTACCCTCCCCCATCGTCTCGTAAATCCATAGTTGTTGCCATAAATACATTAGGTGTAGCATTGTTAGGGGTATATCCTATGTCAAAGGTTTGATGCCATCGAATCCAAGGAAATCCACCTATAATTTTGCCTGTTTTCTCTCTCGTTGATAACTATACAATGAAAGATTTTTCAAAATATACAAAAAAAAAACAACAGACCGAAAACAATTATCTTACTTGAACCAAACCAAATGGAAATGCCGGATCAGTAATGAAGTACGTACGATTTTGCCATATGTGTCGCCAGTATTGAATCATTTTAAGAAATGTACACTGATATTTATCGCGATTGTGATTAACATTAGCTTCACCTAAATGGAATTTCTTTTGAAATTTCATACTATTCAGTTTATTAATGAATACCTTGATACCAAATCACTCCTTTAATAACCATACGTGTAAATGGATAGATCATTGCATTATATAAAACTGAATTATTCAATACTATATCAGGTTTAAAGTCTGTTTCATCACTATATTCAAGTTCTATTTGCTTATCTCTACAATCGAATATTATTTTTAAAGTTACATTTCATAGACTTACATTAAAACATCACAGTCTTTAAGTACTTGAGGTGGTGACCATAATTCAATTGCTGTACCACCCCAAGATGTATGAATAAGACCAATTGGTCGTTTATCGTCAAGTCCTATGTGAATCATTCGACCATAGAGCCAACATACTGCTGATGCATAAACACTACCAACACTTTTTGGCGATGCAATCGACCAATTGAGTGCAATATCCAAAAGCTCTTCTTCAGGTTTTCCTGATTGCTGCCTTGATGCTGTAAATAATCTCACTTTTGGATATTTTCCAGCATTTTCAATCTCAATTGAACCATTAAAAATTCTTTGCACAGCCATTGCCATATTCGATTGACCAGAACATAACCAAACATCTCCGAAAAGAACATCATGGAGCCTAATCGATATTCGTGATCCGTTCAAGAATGTTTGTGTAGCAACAAGTTCAAATGGACCTTCTTCACTTTCAGCATCGAGTGTTACCGACCAGATACTTTCATCTGATGAATAGATTGATGATAAATAGCTCTTCGTATGATAAATCTTCTTATTTATCTTCAAAATAATCGATACATTTTGACCATCACCATAACCCCATACGATTGCCTTTTGTGGAGCACGTTGAAGAACCATATGATTTTGATAATAGTTCGCAAATCGAAAATTGCCATCGACTAGAAGTAGAAAATAGACTATTCTATATTTATCTTGAACTATTTAATGAATTTGTTCACATTATAAAATCATTCAATCATTTTCACTCAAAAGATATTCCAATTAAAAACTTAAGAAAACAAAAGAAAAACAAGTTACTTTACAACAAATCATTCATACTTTTGCTTGTAAACAGAGTTAATAGGAGAATGCAAATTTGAAAATAATCCTTCATTATCATCTGCATTATTGATATAACAAAATGTAATTTTTGAAGAAGACACATGTTTTTGTTATCTTGTAGTGTGTTTGAGATAAGATAACTGAAAAAGAAAAGATTGCTCAAGGCATATCGCACCTTCTACACGATACGCACATATATCTTCAATGTTTGTAAAAAAAAAAAAAGAAGATATGCCTAAGAATTTGAGCAGTCATCTTATTACTGTGCAAAGTTTCTTCGAAAATTTGTCTAATTGTCAGTAACAAAAAGATAACTTGAAACGCATCTACACCTTTCAGCAGAAATATTATAACTATCAGCTTCAATAGGACTTTTTTTTGTAAACTGCAATGAAGTGTAAAAAAAACAACAAAAACTGTTTTTTATCAAATAATAAACGACTGATTGGTCGACAATTTTTTCTGTGCACATATTAAGAACAGATAAATCGTTAGTAATTACTTCGAAAAACAGCTTCTTGATTTACTAACTCTGATAATATTTATCCTAAGCTGATAGTTATGTTATTCTGAAGTCAACTGTGTTGAATCCATCGACCCTATGATGTACAGTCAGTGGCGGATCTAGAAATTTTTGAAGGGGGTGGCGGATAAGTGGAATGAGAGCGAATGAGCGAAAGGGGGTGGCGGATGTGACAAAAATGTAAAATTTCCAAGGAAAACCACTAGAAAAAAACGTGAAGTCAAATCGGAAGGGGAAGGCGGTCGCCACCCCCGCCACTCCCCTGGATCCGCCACTGTGTACAGTATATGTATTCTAAAATTGAATAAGTTTTAGAAATTAAATTTTGTTGGAAACATTGTAGGTTTAGAATTGTACACTACACTATAAAGAGAGAACTTTATGTCAATTTACTTTTGAGTTAGAATTATATTCATCGTATATACCATAATGTACGATAAATACCATGAAAAGAGTTCGTGTTTCCCGCCTATTGCTGTCGATTTATTGCATTTTTTTAACGATATTTTTTATCACAATTGTATGATCTCCTCAGTAACAACTAAAAAACTGATTTTCAAATTTCGACTTCAAACTTTACATAGAGAAAGTATTTAATGAAAGCTGTTCGTTGTAAAATTTTCACAGATTTTCATTACTACTTTTCGAAAAAAAGAGCAATAATGTGTGATGTGAGATGTATGCTTTTAACATAGCCGTATCTGAAAGGCAGAAACAATCAAAAGATCTGAAAGTTTTGCAATAAACTATCCTCATTGTGGCCTTTCTTTCTTCAATGTACGAAGATGAACTTCAGAACTTACGAGGGAACCTCCAGAGATGTCCAACGAGTTTAGGCTTCATCTTTTGGCCATAAGTAGACCTTGATGAGATATGAAAAAGCTGTAAAGGATTTCAGCCCTCACGGCTTTGTTCCCAAAATATCAAATTTTTAAGAAATGTTTCTCATAGGATCCAAGATTTTCAGCAAAATCGTATCATCGAATTTTGACGTGAAACTTTGTTTATATCAACTTCTCAAGTAGACTAGGTTGTGTACAAAATTTCAGACTTTTCTAATGCACTCTTTAAGAAATATGAATGTTTCAGAATATAGGTCGTTATTACAGATATTGTACGAAACATGAATATGTTAGAAACATTCATATTTCTTAACCCTTTGACAGCGGACTTTTTTTTCACAAAAAAAATGAAACTGTCTTACCAGAACTAGTTATATTCTGAAAGTCATTAATGGTCGTAATTGCTGCAGTTAGATTTCATTTAGAAAATGTAACTAGTTTATTTTGAAATGAAAAAAAAAACATGTCAGAAAAAAAAACTAAAAATTTACCAAAGTATGAAATTTTTCGAAGCAATTAACTACGCAAAGACCTACGTCACAGTCTTTACACATATAACGTGAATCTGTTCTCGTTCTAGGTTTTCTATTAGTATTTGCACAAACAAAGCATTCTCTTTGAGGATTTTTTCTTTCAGTTGTTTGAGGCACAATAGTAGGAAAATGTTTACCAGTAAGTCTAGTTGATTTACGGCCATGTACAGGTCGTCCAATTGTTGGTTTTGGAGTATGATAAATTTGTAAAATTTCACCTATAAGTTGTAAACGAAAGTCTACCAATTGAGGTCTTTCCCCGGTTTTCATTTTGTAAAGCAAATATGTCAAGGGGAAAACAGCAGACTTTTGTACTTCAAGTACTTTGCGCTACTTTAAGCTACTTTGAACTACTTTGAGCTGCTTTGAGCTACTTTAAGCCTACTTCTAGTAGAGTACTTTGAAGTACTTTTCAACTTCAAATTTACTTGAAGTTACTTACAATTACTTCAAGCTACTTTAAGCTTACTTCAAGCCTACTTCAAGTAAAGTACTTTACCGTACTTTTCTACTTCAAGTCTGCTGTTTCCCCCTTGAAATATGTGTTGAAAACTAATAAATCAAGCATATGAAAAAATAATTTTCGGTAGAGGAAATCATTTTCTCAAGGGTGAATCTAGACTGAAAGTTGAGGTACAAAAATAATGAAGCTGCTCAGTCATGTTCATACTGCAAACAGTTATAAATTTATTCACAAAAATACCTGATGCATAAACTAAAATTGAAAATGTTTTACAGAAATATTCTTGAGAAACGTGCGATTTTTTCTTTGAGAAAAGGATCAGCTAATTCGTAGGATGAGTGCTACCTTGTTAACGTTATTATTATATTAATAGTTCTTATAAATTTTCATATATGGGCCATTTCATTCGTTAGGGACGTGACTTCGCAGAATTGAAAAATGTGTATCTCGAGACAATGAGCTGATATAGAGCTAACTTTTATATACTATATGTATGTTAAGTTACTCTAGACACCCTGAAAAAACCAGCGCTAAAGCTTTGTTCAAAGAAATTATCAGTAAAAAATTAGGGTTAGGGAAGTGGCACAAAGAAAGGATATCAACTGTCACTTCATGCATTTTAGTTTTAAAAAAACTTCGAATTGGAGCAGCACTTTTGCAAATTTAATAGTACTTTCTGTAGACAAAGTCAACTAAAAGAATCAACATTTTTACACAGATCTATGCTAAAGGAAGTTATTGTGAAAAATAACCCTCGTAGAGAGTCACAGTCAAATAGAAGGAGGATGTGTCGCGTTTTGCTTGATTTAGCCCATATATTATTTTAAGTATGGCTCGTTATCACAGGATATTATGTTTCCCATCCCACATGATGATGATCCTTAAGTAAGGTCGAAATGTATCGTAAGTAGTTTGAAATTATATTGTTCTTTCCAAATATACACATACCCACACCACTCACACGCGAAGAATACCAGTAGAAGGAAACATTTTAATAAGGAAAAACTAGTAACTTATTTAATTTTACCATAGACTAATGACGCCGTCTATACTAACTCTTTGTAAGGTAAAAATGATCTCCTAAAATACATCAGAACATATAAAACTAGTTTAAGTTTTATTAGGATTAGTATAAAATAACGTTGTCAAATGCAGAAAAGACTTTTCAGCAGTACAACAAATACAAATCTTCTACAATACTAGATTAATCTAACACTACATAAATGATTAATAAAGATAATGAGTTCTGTAAGGGTATATGAAGCTATGAAATAAGAGTGTAAAATGTTCGAGATCTCTTGACAAAAGTTTTTTAAGTCTATAATTTTATGTCTGCTATACGAGAATGCATTCAAGTTCATTGTGTATTCGAAAGGAAATATTTTTAAATATTATTTATTATCTTCGATCATATTTCACTTGAATAGGTATAGCGGCAATATTTCTGTTCAAATTTAGTACTCACTTCGAAGTAAGTCATCGTAATAAATATTTAATTGAAAATCACATCGAAATTGAAAAGTTTTCACAAATGTCCAATTCAATTGATACTTAGCACTTCGAATTGATGATTCAGTTTCTGTTATGATATCATATGGCATGGCTAGTGAACATAGACGACAATCTTTCGATTCATGTATAGCACTCACCATGACGTAAAACCTCTATAGTTGTTCCAATAAACGAAAATCACAGCACAGTTGAATGATGCTAAATATTACTATGTTCAAGTACAATAGTAACTTGCAAGCAATGCTTATCTGTTCGTCATGTTCGAGCAACTGGTATCCTAGACGAATAAATCTGAAAAAACTGCTCTTCAAGTACTTTTCTCAAACACAACTAATGCGGTAAATATGCTCATCACAGAAAGAATACGTCACCAGCGATTGAGATTAACCAAACATTCGTTCAACCATATTATTCACAAAGAATAAACGAGAGAACTGGGTGGCACGGATCCAAGATCGCAAAGCAAATGAATCATTTCAACTATAGTACTGTTCAAGTATATGACACACATGGAGACGAATTACGAACCTCGATCAAATCATTCGAGGCTATTTCACCAACAAATAATTTTAACCAGCACGTCTCTATTTGTTTAATTCGTGTCAATAATAACAAAGAATCGCCACAGATCATCTGTTACAATAAGACGATGTATACGAATCCTCCGGACAATAGATCTATTCATGTTCTCATATCCAGCAAAGGAAAGCGTAACAAAAAATCCTTCAGCTGACAGTCATCCTGCCCACGAATCATCCCAAACAAAGATTTGTTCAATTATTTCAATTTCAAACACCCCATAACGTTACAGTAGATAATATCAAGGAACATGTCAGATGGATCATTGCAATTAATTATCTGTTCAATTATTTCACACTGAACCCGACGAAACCAGTCTCACAAATCATCGAACGGCACCAGTCACATGAATCGCTCGCATTAATTCTCTATTCAATTATTTCACACGAAAGCAAACCATAACAAAACAAAAGGTGATCGAATCGCACATGTCACATGAATGATACCGAACAACGCTCTATACAATTACTTCACACGCAAACAAATGGAATCACTACAACACACCATCGAACAGAACGTGTCAGATGAATCAGACTGAGGAATTTTCTGTTCAATTATTTCACACAGAACTAAACGGTAACAGTACAGTATATGATCCAACAGCAGATGACAGATGAATCACTCTGAAAAATTTTCTATTCAGTTATTTCA